CCATGTTGGCTCCGCCTCTATCATTTAAATTTGAAGGAGGAATTAAACAACTTCCAGATAAGCAAAAGCTGAGAGAATTTACCTCCCACAAAACATCTCTACTGTCTATTTTGAAGGGCCTGCTATAGATGGAAGTGTTCCTAAGTTTTAATAGCTGTCACCAGAGGTAATAAAACCATAGTAAAGAAAGTAGAACAGCAAATTACTAAGCAAATGCAAATTAAATTAACTATCCCCAGAGTCAAAATATATGGAAGAGTGGGGAAAAAAATAACCAAAATGTGTGTTAAAGATACCAAGGAGATACTAAAGAGATGTTTATTGATATGGACATAACTGAGAGAAATGGGCAGCTGCTAGTATAATACTGAGATGATTGTCCCAATAAAATCAATTTCAGATTATTCTTTAGCCCAGGATTCTAGAACCAATAAGATTGTCTTTCAATGTTAATTTTGATTCTGAACCAGAGCACAGATTTCTGAAGTACATAGAGATTTGGATAATAAAGTAATCTTATTATTACGATTATGAGAATTGAGGTTTGCCCAATTCCAATTCAGCCCTTAAAAATTCACATTCATATTTCATAGTAATAGGCCTACATCAACAGCAACCATGAAAATTAATGTATAATACAAGTAAAAACTTTCTGGAATGTATAGTCACCCAGACATACATTACAAAAAGTACATTTATAAGTATTTTAGGATGAAATAAACACCCGTGTAATTCATACTAAGCTGTTAACCGAGCTTTTGTATTGTGCAAGTAAAACTTCTCTAGAAAGTAGTCTCTGAAAACAACATTTTCATCCTCAGCCCTCACAGCTGAGGTCAGCAAAATGTGTGCTCATGGAAACTATACACTGAGTAGCCACTGTCTAAAAGGGGGCAGTAGCTCTCAGCACAGTGGTCAACCTGTGGATCAAATGCACAAAAAAGACAGACCATCTTGTTGCTAACTGACAAGACCTCCCATCACGGGTACTTGTGTTACATTTGGCAAATGTCTGAGTGCTCATATCAGTGGTTGACTCCAACCAAGATTAAATTCATTGGGTCAATAAAGGTGAGGTTCTGACAGTCAGTGGCCGTCAGCAAGGGTGGAGGTGGGAAAAGCAAACCAGTGTTCCTGGGGCCACCAAACTTCACAAGACAGTGTTCTAGGAAAACAAACTACACATGAGATGGACCCTAAACTTGTATAGGTTGAAGGAGGGTCTTGCACAAGCCTTCTGGAGCTAGTCTAAGCCCCATGACTCCTAATAATAAGAGACCTTTACTGAAAACTTTATTGATAGAAAATAGAGCAAGTGAGCATACAAATCCCCCACGTAAGACTTACAACTCAGTGGCTTTTAGTATATACAAAGTTACTCTTCAGGCTTCCATCCCTCTGGACCATCCCTCTGCTCTTTCTGGACCAAGGAGTGCCCCCAGGACCCAGCAATGGATGTGGACAGCCATGACCAGAGCCCATCATGCTGGTCAAGAAACCTGCTCCAAGGTCCTCAGACTTCTGGACAGACTGGGTTCACATTCAGTGACCCCAGGAAAAAGGTGTTGCTCAACCAGTGTGAAAGAGCCCCCAAACAGGAAGAAAAACTGATGTCCAATGTTTACTCACATTTCTGTTGAGTGACTGAGACACCCGAGCAGGAGGAGCCAGAAGAGCAGTGTCCCCGCCTGCATGTCTGGGACCTCTCGGGGGCCCTGGGGGCCGGGGAGGGGGAATAGGGTGTGGGGGTGGGGAAGGTGTGTGGCAGGAAGGTGGGTAGGGTGGGAAAAGTCAGGGGTCTGTGTGGGCGGGAGAGGACAGACTCAGGCTGAGAGGGGACTGAGGAGGGATCAGAGAGGTCAGTGAATTTGGTAGATCAATAGGTTAGTAGGCCAGTAGGTAAGTAAGTCAATGGGTTGGGCAGGACACAAGCAACAGGTGAAGGGGACGCTCAGGAGCTGTTGGAGGAAATGATAGTCCGTCTTCCTCTGAGCCTTCTCCTGTTGGACGCTGCCTTAGCAACCGGAATGCTTTGTACTCCCTCTCCACCCCTGCCTTCATCCCTTGTCCTTCACAATGGACCCCTTGTGACCCATTCTCTGAAGGAGAGTTCCCTCCTCTCCCCGCTACCACGTGCCAGCCCAGGAGAAGTCCCCTCTTGAATATCCCAGGTCCTTGTGATTTCTGGTAGTTCCCAGATCAGCTCCCTCCTTTCTCTCTCTTGCGCAGATCCACATAGTTCGTTTTGGCTGCCAAACATATAAAGCAAATGATGGAAACACAAAAAGGGTCCGAACACAAGCAGAATGGGAGATCTTTACCCACTCTCCTCAGCAATGTCTGCAAACAAAACATCTGTAGGTATGAGATCTGAACAGTGAAGCATCTTACCTTACAGAAATACATATATACACAGGGCAGACTCCTCAACTCACATACACTGCTCCAGGCTGGGAGCAGAGTGAGCACATCAATGGGTGGCAGGGTGGCAGGTGAGGCATGATCTGGCAGACAAGTATAGCCACCAGGCTGAACTGGCCATCCCCAACCCCCTTCCCCAGACTCCACAGTCATCCTTATCCTGGCCTCACCTTCCTGTGGGGCATGGGCAGGCCAGGTGGGGTGGACACCTGGGCCAACATGGAGTGTCCCTTTCATTAAATGGAAACAAGGGGTCACTGAGGGTCTCTGAAATCAGGAGGGAGAATTAGGCCCTGGGTTTTCCATGGTGTGGGTTGGGGAGCATTATAAGGGACTGCATTTAGCACAGTTTCATTCACAGAATAAATGCACAATACAGGGTCACTGCTGATGCTAATGTCACTATTTTATTACCCCAGCTGCATTCTGAGGGTTTCACTCGGGCAATATGAAAGGAACAGAGGACTTGGAGGAAGGAGAAGGACTGACATTAATTTAAAAGAACAAAAATGTTGCAATGTTGGCATTCCTAATGGTATTTCCCACCAGCCCTCCACATCCCCATCTTTGTCTTAGTTCCCAGCTGCATTCTGAGGGTTTCACTCGGGCAATATGAAAGGAACAGAGGACTTGGAGGAAGGAGAAGGACTGACATTAATTTAAAAGAACAAAAATGTTGCAATGTTGGCATTCCTAATGGTATTTCCCACCAGCCCTCCACATCCCCATCTTTGTCTTAGTGGGGAAAGCTCCCAGGCTTTTTTTTTCTTCCCAAGATCACAGTGGTTTCTGAGCTTATTGCAGATTACTTCTGAGCAAACTCCTTTCTCCGAAGTTCACTTCTTCTTATCTTGCCAGTGACGGTTTTGGGCAGCTCTGGGACAAACTCCACCTGATTGAGGGAAAGGAAACCCCTCCTGACTTGACATTTCCTACCAATACCCCACCCTCCTCCTTTCCTCTGCATGGACCCCTGACAACCTAGCTCCACGTGATAGCCTTAATGAGGTCCACCAAGAATGTGAGTGTCAACTTGACGCCCTAAACGTGGATGCTGACCTGTGGCCATGTGTGAAGTGTGCTGTCTCTAACAGAAGGACTGGGAACCATTGAGACTGGCAACCCTCTTTGTCCACTTCATATAGCACCTGGCAGCTACCCACATGGTGGCTGCCTCTTTATCCTGGCCCCAGGAGGACCACAGAGGACATGTGGCATCAACGAGGAACTTTCCTTATCATTAGCTGTTAAGACATTGGGACTGTTTGTTACTCACAGTAACATCCAGCCCATCCTATCTGATACATGTCCTGTGTTCTATTCTCTATAAGGCAGAGCCTAACATTAGAAGCATAAACTCTGTTGTCTGATACATGCATGTTTGAGATCCACCTTTGCCTTTTATTAACTCTAATCTCAGGCAATTTACTTAGAGACTCTGGGTCTTAATTTGTTCTCTGTAAAATGGGATGGTCATGCCATCTCAGGTGGAGAGAAGTAAATTAAATAACAATGCATAAAAAGCATTGAGCCCAGGGCCTGGCACACATAGTAAATGTTCAATAAATGTTAGCTATATAGCTTTGTAATATTTATGGATTGTAAAGCATTAGCAAAGTATTATTACAAAAGAAATAAATATTAACTTTTTGGCTTTATGTGCCCTTTCAAATTGTGTTTTTAAACTAATAGGATATTATAATGTATATTTTTTCATAGCCTATTTTCTTTCTCTTAATAAGACATTGTTGCAATATTTCTATGTTAAAAATAAAAGATCAGCATTTCAAGTTATAACATAATATTAAATTTCATTAATAATTTAATCATTTCTCTATTGGACATTTTCATAGATTACATAAGGCATTTAAAACAAATGTAGACTAATATCAACGTATTGCATGTTTTTAGGGTATCATTTTATTAAATTTTATTTATGTGCATATAATTATACACAGTATATATACACACATATATATGGATGTATATATCTATATATGTGTGTGTGTATATATATATATATACTGAATTGCCATATAGAATGCATTTCTTACTACAAATAATGTTCTTTAAAAGTTTGGAAGTTGATTTGAATTTCTTTTTTTAAATTTGAAAGATTATAAATAACCTTCTTGATACTTCTAGGCACTCATATGACATTTTTTTTTAGGTTAACGTGCCAGCCATGGGTTCCTTGTGGGTTTCTGACATAGGAGAGAGGTTCTATCTGACTAAGTAGGTTGTTTCTCCCGCACCAGTAAGCCAGATTCCTGCTTCTGCAGAGAAAAATTCTGGTTCTTTTGGCCACTTGAGCTTCACCCTGGCCACCCAGTGAGACTCTGGTCAGGGGGCCCCTGGAACCACTCAGAGGGACCATCCATCACTCACCTTCCTCGGGTACTTGTACGGGGCCGTCACTGACTTCACGTGTTGCTGCAGCTCCTTGGTCAGCTGGTCCTTGTCACAGGACAGGAAGTTGGGGGTCAGGACAATAAATGCCTTCACCACCTGCAGTGCAGAACCAGAGTGGAGGCTCAGGGTGAGTGGCAACCAGTTGTATAGATTAAAAAGTAAATGTTTATTACATGAATGGAAAAACAAGTAGACAGTTGAGCCTTTGGAAAAGGACAGGACCAGGTTCAAATCCCAGGACTTCCAATTTCCTCTCTTTGCTTTGGAAAATCACGTAACCTCGATTTCCTTCTCTGTGAGATGGGAACAGCAAGGTTAATTACCCAGTGGGCTTATGTCAATATTCCATGAGATAATACATAGCAAATATGAAGCTAGTTTAAGTCTACTTTTATTCCTATCATTATCATTGCCACGTTTATGATTATTGTAGGTAGAGTTGTGAAGGCATTTAATGAGTGCTGGTAATTGACTATCTTTACATTTTTGTTTATACCCCCAATTTAACTGCACAGGGCCTTGTACACAGTGGGTGCTCAACAAACACCTGCTGAATCAGTGAATGCATGCTCTGGAACCAGATGGCTTAGATTCCCACTCTTCTTCCAGCCCTGTGACCTGGGCAAGTTATTTAACCCCTTTAGGCTCTGTTCCTTATGTGTAAAAAGGGTATGGGTCCTTAATTCATTCAGCTGTTGTGAGAGAGGTAAATGAGCTAGCACACAGTAAGGCTTCATCACGGACTGTCATTTATAATCTTCATTTTCAGTCACAGATGAGGCCACGGGCCCCTGGTGGCCATACACTGTAAGTGCACATACCGACTGTGCCCTCCCTCCACAGGTGGCCTAAGGCTGGGAAGATATGGCCTGGAAGGTTCCGCGGCACCTGCTTTCCCAGCGCCCACCCGCGGAGATGGTGACCTCCGCATTCTCTTCCTCACCTCCACTCGAATCGGGTCCGGGCTGCTCACCACAGCTGACTCGGCCACCGCCGGGTGCTCGGCCAGGGCGTTCTCCACTTCTGCCGGCCCAATGCGGTACCTGGAAGACCAATGGGCTTTTCGTGGTCTCTGAGTGGATGCCAGGTCTGGGGTAACCCCAGGCCTTCATATCTCATTTTTAAAGGGTCACCTCTTCCCTTTCCACCGAGAGCAACTGTCACATGCTGTGCAAACACTGTAGTGGGATCTACGAGAAGACCTGGGCACATGCCAAGAAACGCCAGTCTCAGATGCTCCCCAGAACTGCTCACCTCCCTATCCCTGGGAGGCAGGATGGCGAGGGCTTGGTCCTCCCAGTGCTCTAAGGCATGGCTCCCAGGTCCCCCAGCATGAGACCTCTTGGAAGCCCCAAACTTTATCATAGACATTCATCCAGATTCTGCATCTTACTCCCCACTATATCAGCCTTTCTTTTAGAAATTAAAAATGATAGCAAACTCAATTTCACTGACATCTGTCCAAAAACACTTGTTTCTCTAATGTAATGTGTCATCATTGTTCTTTCTAAGTCACATGAGGATTAGAGAGAATGGACTCAGAGTCAGACTACCTTGGCTCAGCTCTGGGCTACAACCTGTACTATCTCAAACTTTAGACAACTTTCTCCACTGGTCAGTGACTCAGTTTCCTCATCTGTAAAATGGGCACAATCTTGTTTACCTACTAGCATTGAGAGGTGGGTTCTATAAAGCAATGCAGAGAAGGCTTTCACATAGTAAGTACCCTAAAAAGATTAGTAGTATTTATTTATTTATTTCTGTGACCTGTTGTGTCCCATACAAGAAACACAAATACAGAATAAGTTCCCTCAACTAACAGGTACCAAAGTAAAGTCGTCCTTCTAGATCCCCTTAATTGCATGATGTCTAATTATGGTTCCTTCTAGACCTTCTGGAACTTTTGTTTGATGGATTCTTCTGGAGGCAGTTTGCACATATACCCCTAAGCCATGGCCCCACAGACATGGTTCTGTTCAGAGTTAGACTGAGGGTCCCATCACCATGCATGGAAGAGTGTCTGGGCAAGCTAGGTCCCATCAGGGATCCCATGGAAGGCGACACCTCCTGGCTCAGGTTAAGCCACACCTACCCAGATGTATTGATGACATCGTCATTCCTCCCCATGAACCAGATGTAGCCCTCTTCATCCATCGTTGCTCTGTCTCCACTGTTGTAAAAGTCCCCACATTCCACTTCGGCTGTCTTCTCTGGGTTATCCTGCAAAGAGATCAGCACCCCTTTGTTGAAGGCAATGAATTTATAGACAATGAACCACACCTGGAGCTCAGATCTGGGTCCAAATACTGCTGCTGACTCTACCTGGCATCTAGACTAGTTTTGCAATCTCTCTGAGTCTAATTTCTATCCATGCTCCTAGTCAATTAGTAGAGAATATTAAGCCAGTTTTAAGGACAAAAAAAAAAAATGACAACTCACTTTTGGGTGGCACTGCAGTAGAATAAATTTTCCACTCCAGCATAGAGCCCTGTTAATTTTATGCACTGCTTTAAGCTCAGCATTCACACAGTGCCTTGACAGATGGGAGGTGTCAATAAAAGTTTACTGAATGAATTTTAATCCAAAAATGTTACTGTTTCTAATCCTCACAGAAAGCTAAATTTTTAAACTAAACTTTAATTTTAAGATAATTTTATATTCACATGCAGTCATAAGAAATAACACAGAGATACCATTTCCCAATTTCCCCCAATGGTGGCATCTTGCAAAACTATGTAGTTGGATATCAGAGCCAGGATATTGACATTACTACCATCCATCAATCTCACTCAGCTGTTCCCCATTTTTCACCTGTACTCATCTGTGTGTGTGGAGTGCATTTAGTCCTATGCAATTTGATCACATGTGTGGGTTCATGTATCCATCACCACAGTAGGGACACAGAGCCCTGTCATCATGACAAGGATTTCTCATGTTGCACTGTGATATCTACACCCACCTGCCTCCTCTTCCCTCACCCTCTTCCCTCCACATCCCTAATCCTTGGAAGTGACTATTCCACACTCATTTTTATATTGTCATTTTAAGAATATTACATAAATGGCACCTTGTTGGTTAACCTTTGGGACTAGCTTTTTAAAAACTGTTGCAGTATAATTCCCTGGAGATTTGTGCAGGTTATTGTGTTCATCAGCACTTTAATCCCATATATTGTTGAACAGTATCTCATGTTATGGGTAAGCCCCAGGTCCCCACTTGCTGGGGGCTGGGGAATATTGTTCAATGGGAGCAAAGTTTCTGTTTGGGGTGGTGAAAATTCTCTGCACAAGCATAGAGGTTGCACAATATTGTGAATTTTCTCAGTGTCACCGAATTGCATGTTCAAAATGTCAAAAAGGGTTGATTTTATGATACATATTTTTTACTTCAATAAAAAGAAAAAAGCAAGCAAATCTCAATGGAGGAGTGACAACGTATTGTCACGAGGGCACATGGAATGGGATAAATAGATGCTGGCCCTAATTTAATGCAAAATTAAATATGTCTTGAACAACAAAAAAAGTCATTTCTCTGGACCACTGCAGTTCAATTTAACCAGAATCTCTGTGGTTGGATCCCAGCATTAATACTTTTTAAACAATCTGCTCAGATGATTCTAATGTGCAGGCAGGGTTGAGTACCCATGATCCAAATACAAGTTACTCTGTGTTTATTTTCTCTTATCCAAGATTAAAACTGCTCTACTGAGGATTAAGGCTAAAGCTGCATGTTTGCTTTTGGTCAGTAGTATCACAAGAGGTGTGGTACCCCTTTGAGGCCACAGAAGAAGGGCAAGATCACCTCAAGTGGCTACTGCTTTGGATTAAGGAGATGGAATCTGATATCAACTTCAGCATCTGTCCATCCTTCCATGGCCAGACTTGGGAACTTGAGAATTGCCTCTTAGTGACCACTAGTAGCCTGGGAGGGTTAGAGTTTGTCTGATCAAGGGTTTCAGGTTTCCTTTTAGTTTATTACAGTTTCCCATAAACCCTGGATTTCTCATTTAGAGTTTGGGGCCCAAAAACATGAGTTTGAATCTTGGGCTTGGCATTTATTTGACATTGGAAAGACACAATGCTTCCAATTTACAGTTTCCTTTTCCATAAAGTGGGAATAATGGTGCCCCCAGGAGGCTCAGCAAGGTGAATAGATTTGTTAGCACCCTGTTGGTAACTGATATGGTAGGATCTGAACCCAGTCTAAGCCTGCATTCTTAACCACAGGAGATGGTTGGAACCCAGCTTTGGAGGTTCTTAAGCCAGGCTCTTTTCTACCCCATAAATCAGTCTGCTAAGACAGGAAGGGATATGGGGACACACTCTAAGCTTTGTTTGATATTATTAAAAAAGGCTTCATGTGTTGGACCGAATAAAGGGAGATGTGAAGTCCCAGGATGCAGAGGTGAGCCCACTCCCTTTGCTTACACAGCACCCTGCTGGGATTCCTGGGGCCCGGAAGGGAGCAGATGGGGTGCCCTCACCTCATAGCACATGAAGAGGCCTACGGGCCTAGAGGGCTTGATCCTGATGCCAATGTTGCCTTCCGTGTTGGGTGGCAGGATGTTGCCCTTCTCGTCAATGATCTGGAGCAAGAAGAGGCCTGTGAATCCCACCCGCAGGGCGACCCCAACCGCCCCGCCCCACCCAAACAGTGCCTGACTTAGTCTTGTGACACAGGTGGGGACAATTAAGAGAGGGGGCCTGTCAGTAGAAACAAACTGTCAGAAGTCTTGGAAATCAGGAAATGGTGAAACCCGTGGATACATACACATGGCAAATGTGTCCTGGGCTAGAAAACATGATCAGGAAAAAGTAAACGCACCAGCCGGTGGCGATGGCTGCCAGGGTCCCCTCCAGGTGCTACTTTCCTGCCCACTGTGTGTGAGGCCTCTGGCTGTCATGCTGAGCTGCACCACACCCAGGACACAGCAACTGAAACCTCCCCAGGAAATCAGAGGGAAACCAGGAGGAGAGGTGGTAGGGTGACAGCCAGGGCAGGGGAACACAGCTGGTTGTCACCTGGTGTCACACAGGGGTCCCATCCCAGCTGACCACTTAACTGCTCCCTGTCAGTGCCTTTAGGACCAGACCTGGACATCATAGGGTGGGATGCTTTTCCCCAGGGAACCCGGCTTGAGCTTCATTCCTCGGAAATTGCCACAGGTTACTCCCTGTTCACAAAAGAAAGAGAGCTGGGCTGGCCAAGCTGAGCAGAAAGCAGCAGGAGTCATACATGCATCCTCACCCACACATCCATCTGATGCAGCTCAATGACCCCTCCTGGGGGAGCTAGAATCCTGGGCTTCTATACTCAAGGCACCGACCGACCCAACCATGCTCAGCAGACATTCACTGCAGGGGCGTGGCTGGGCTGTGGGAGCTGCTGGGGCTGCAGAGGCCAGTGGGAGGGGCTGAAAAAGCAGCAAAGGAGTGAGCCTAGCACTGTGGGGTGCTCAGGGCCCACTGCAAGCCAGGCATGTGTCTGTTTGTCAGGGGAAGGCCATGAGTTCAATTAACAAACATTTACTCGGGGCTGAGGAATAGCTGTGGGAATCCTGCCTCAACTATGTGGGAATGTGTTGAGATTATTCAGATTGGTCATTTGAACTGGGCTCCAAGCTCCTGGGAAAGGAAGTGTCCTCCCCTCTGCTATGTGGCTAAGATGTTGCACAGATGAACCAGTGTGAAAGCACTTTAAGAAATAAAGCACCAATCGGGCCTAAGGGAGGCTTTTGTCATTGAAAAAAAGTTCATGTAAATGGACTGGTATGCAGTATATAGTTCTCATCCCACCATCCTCCTGGTCCAGCCACTCAGAGGCAGGCCTGGAGTCTTAACATCTTTCAGGCCTGAAAGCAGACCAATAAACTGATTATTTATTTATTTTAACAAAGACGTATCAAACAAGTATGTGGATGAGAACTAAACTACACATTTTGCTACAGCTCCTGCGATGGCAGTCATCCACTGTCAGCTACAAAGTGGCTCTGCTCAGCTTCCAAACTGGGTTGAGCATGTGTTAGAAGTCCACACTACCACTAATCAAGGTTTCATGGTTCAAAACATGCATGTTATTCTGTGTGCCCTGCCACATGGCTGTTCTGTGACACCTTTAGGATCACAATCTGTGTGTGTGTGTGTGTGTGTGTGTGTGTGTGTGTGTGTGTGTGTGTGTGTATACAGAAAGTATCTGCTCCCTGCTCCCCTCCTGCTAGTGTCCCCCATGACATGCTGCATGCTGTCCTCATGAACAGCCAGAAACCATCTTCTGAGGCCAGGTCCTAGTGGCCCCCTGTGGCTGCTGCCGTGGGAAGGGACAATGAACTGGGCAGGACTTGGGGTGATGGCCTCCATGTTGCTGGAGAGAACCTTCTATCCCACCACCATCCTGGGTGCCTTGACTGAGATCACAGGGACGGTGGAACCATGTCCTTAGACTACTTTTAAAGTTTTTGTCTGAGATGCGAATGGTCTTTCTGAAAATTGATTTGGGGCAGATCAGCCTAGAACTCCAGAGCCTCGCACTGGCCTCAAGCCATGCTGGGAGCCCAGCGGGCCTCTGCACATGCATGGCATGAAGCAGCTCACCCGCTGGGCCTGGGGCTGAGCATGTCCTGATTGGCCCAGAAGGAACCATCTACCTACCGTTTCTGTCTGTCCATAGGCCTCATGGAGCAGAAGGCCTGTCTGTCTTTTCCATTGCTCTTGTTCCTCAGGCAGCAGGGCCTCCCCACCGGTACAGCAGTGCTCCAGGGCAGGGAACCTGAGGGTGAGGGCAGGCCAGGGGGCAGCAGAGCCTCAGGTCAGGCCTTGCATGCCCTTCCTCAGGCCTGGGGTATTATGGGCTCACAGCCTTGTCATCTGCACCATCTGTCCTTCTGCTTTTTCACTTTCTGGCTCACCTTCTGGGCAATTTACTGGTGGTCAAGACCCAAGTTCTGCTTCCTGGCAGTGCCTATTAGGTTCTCTAGTAGGGGGTGGGTAGTGGTCGTGATGGTAATGGGTTAAATCAGGGAGATTCAGATTAAATTTGGGCATGGTTATAACAGGAGGGTAAGGATGTGTTGACCAGATCTTGCCCTAGGGGGGCATTCTAAGTGGCCAAGAGGGATATTTACATAAACCATAAGGGGAGTGAGGGATAAGATCCCCCTGGACATGCCTTCCATGGAGAGAGGGGTTAGATGAACTAAAGTGCTTTTGTTTATATTTTGAATTTGTGTTTTTGAGTGAAGAGTGCAAGTTAGGGATTGAGAATCAGTTGCTCAGGTCATTGAGGATGACTGTACTAAGTACAGGGAAAAAGAGGAGGAGGGTCACAGGTTATAGGCCCATGAGAAAGAATTTCAGAGAGAATAGAAAAGTCTGCTATAAGCATTTGTAGCAAGGACCTTATGTGCTGGGTGTGCTGTGTGCTGTAAATCCTTCCCTCCATTTCCCCCATGAAATTTTCCATAAATAACATTTCTCTAAGTAAAAGCAAACACAAAATAATAATGGATTCACTGAAGGAAATAGGGAGAAGTGGCTGAGGTCTGAATACCACCTGGTGCAGTGCTGAGCTGGGCCAGCTCTTGAGAGTGAGGGAGGCAGCAGACCCCTGGTTCCCCTGCCCCTCCATCACCCTCTCCCGGCACATACAGGGGTAGGGGTAGTGGCCAGGAGGGCTGGTTTCATTGAGGGTATCTTCCTCCTCTTTCTGGCACTTTTCCAAAGTAAATAAAGTGGACGGAATCTCTGATAGAGTCATTAGCTATGCTCTGCTTGGATTTTTACTGGATTTGGACAACAGTCCTCACCTGAGGAATATTGCAAACATGGCTGTAATTAGAGCTTTGACGTACAGATGGAAAGCCAGCCGGACAGAAGCTTCATGGATAAAGTCAAGTTGCATTTCAGAGTTAGCTTAGGAAGGGCAGGCACTGAGCTCCTGGGTATTTTAACTGCTAGGTCTAACGTGTTAGCTCTGATTTTTGAAATAGCCATTTCAATCTCAGAGTCTCTCAAAGATACATAAATATCCTTAAGTTTCAAAGAGTAGATTTCAATTTAGCTAAAAACTCACCTGCAAACACAGGGGAAGGCAAAAATAAAATTATAGCGAGATAAGACTTTGCATCCATCAGACTGACAAAAATGAAAAACTCTAACAACAGCATATATAGCCAGGGCTGTGGACAATGGGCATTCTCTCGCCCTGCCAGTGCGGCATAAACTGGTTCAATACTTTGGAAAATAGGGTGGCAGGATGCAGTGGCAATGTGACCTACCGATTCCTTTCACAGAGAAACACTACATGTATTTTTGTACATGTAGTATAATGCATGCTTATTTTCTTACATGTACAGGAATTCAGTGCAGCACTAATCACCAATATAACCCCAAAATGCAAATTACCTAAATGTGTCTTAAGAGCAGAACTGATAAAAAATGTGGTGCTTTCATAAAATGGGATATACTGTACAGCAGTGAAAATGAACTACAGCAATATGCAGCAAAATAGATACATCTTGGAAATACAATGTTGAAAAAAGAAGCCAGATATTACAGAATTATGTATGACTGCCCACATGAAGCTCAAAAACAGATAAAACAGATTGTTTATTTAGGGTTATCTTGTTAGGAAATAAGCTATAAGGAAAAATGAGGAACATCATGAAAGCCAAGATAGCAGATTCCTTTAGGGGAAGGTAGAGGCATGAAGAGGTCCCTGGGGCGCTGGAAGTGTTCTGTTTTTATGACTTGGGTGAGTGGTAACACAGGGATTTTATTTTTGACAATTCATCAACATGTAAATTTGTCTTACATATTTTTCTGCATGTTCTTTCACAATAAAATTGTTAAAAAATTAAACTCGCAATGATGCAAGGCTCATGGAGTGTTTCATTCAGATCTCTCAGTCCTGCTTTAATAAACTAATTAGACTAGTTTATAATTATCACCACCAACACACACTTACCCCCCACCCCTGCCCCCAACACCTGACACCCACTACCCTCAAAGAAACAGCTGAAAACAGTCAGACCTCAGTGCATCGGATTCCTTAAAATCCTACCCAAAGATTGTCATTAGCAGCCACAGCCACTTCTATACCTGGTGAAATTCTGCTTCAGAATCGATCGAAATACAGCTGGCGCAGCAAGGATTTGGGTGATGGGGTATTTGACCAATGTCTACAAAGTGGGAAGAGAAGGCATTTTATTTTTATAGTTAAGATGAAAATTATTGCCCACTCATATTAATTCTGATGTCCCCTTTAGGAGAGCACGATTATTCATTTGTTAGTTCTTTCAATGCATCTATATTGAGCCTGAATTTTGTACACGGTGTGTGTCAGGTGCTGAGGAAGGAGAGTAAGATAAAGCCCCAACTCTTAGGAGAGTAGGTACTGATGGAGGAGATAAAATAAGAATCAGGTGATAAGGCAGAAACGGTAGCTGTCTTAAGAGAAATCTGAAAGAAGTTCTGTGAGAACATAGCAGAGGAAATAATTCTCCTGAATGGGTGATCCAGGGGCTTTACTAGAACAGGTGGCATTTAGTTGGGGTATTTAACAAAAGGATACAGGTCTGCAGGCAGAGGAATGGAGATGGCTCTTGAAGACAGAAGGAACAGCGGGGGCAAAGTCATAGAAATTTTAAGCCAAATAATATGATTTATTTAGACACATAGGAGAGGAGCAAGAAGTAAATTTAGGAATCTGGGGGTTAGTAGGAGCCAGATTATTTAGGGTCTCAAATGGCCGGTGTTCACCACGGTTTAGCCAGAGGTGGAAGTCTCTGAGTTTCCAACCTGGGGAGGTGATGCCAGGAGAGCAAAGAACACCAAAGAGAAGAGACTGTGGGCCTGGGGTCGGCCTGCCTGAATCCCAACCCTGCTGCTTAGCTTCTCTGCAACTTTGTTTCCTCATCTGTAAAACGGGAATGTCCCTATCTCCCACGTAGCACTGGGCATTTAGGGGTCTGCCTCCTCTCTCACTCCCACCCTTTCCGAGCCTAGTCACCTTTTAACCTCTGGCTTGGACTTCTACAGTATCTCACATTCTTATCCTCTTAAAAATTTGGGCATGCAGCATGGGATTGGTGACTGGTGACGGACTTAAGCTGAGCCACTCAGCTTCTTGCCAGTGCGGCCTGGTCATCTGGAGGGAGGGACGGCACCCCTGGAGGGCTGCCGTTGCCAAGCTGGTCGGCCCACAAGGAGGGACAGGTCTAGAGAGGAAAGCAGAGAGGCCACCGGGTGTCGGCCTCGCGAGACTCCTGGTGCCCTTCCCGTTCCTGCTGCAGACCCTGGTCAGGCTCAGCCTCTCCTCTTCTCCTCCAGCACCATGACAGGCTGGACCAGAGTCCTCCCTCCCTTATTCTCACGGAGAACACCGAGCTGCGTGGGGTGGTGTCCGGGGGTCGTAGGCAGCGGAGCGCTGTTCATACGGAAGAGACAGCAGCCGTCCCAGGTCTTGCCCGAGCCTGGTGCTGAGTCACCGACTATTGATTCTGGCTATTGTTGTATAAGTTGTAATTCGTGACTCATCTTGGTGATTTTTCAGAGGAGGTGCAGCTTTTGGAGGCGTGCAGAGCGGGGAGTGGGAGGTTCTGCAGCCCCTCTGGGCAGAGAGGAAGTGGAGGGAAAGGGCTGTGGATCTGAATAGTATTTAGCACTCCTGGTTTTAGTCAGTATCTCCCATCTTTGATAAGAGGAATTGAACTAGATGCATTAAACATTTTATTATTAAAAATTCACAGAAGTACTAAGTGGAAAATAAGTCAAAATAATAATTTGGGACACCCCACACAGTAGGAGGGAGTTAGACCTGGTGGTGGAGGGAAAGGTGGATTCAGTGTTGTTTTTTTCAAGTTTAAGCCTCAGGGACTGGCAGTGAACTCTGATCTGGGGATGGAGCGGGATACGGGAAGTGCACTGAGGTGCCTGATCGCAGGGACTGGAGACCAAGGGCAGATACACAAGAGGGAATCAGAGAAGAGCACCGCCAAGGTCCAGCTTTGAGAGCCACCTGAGCTGATGTACTTGCTGGTGAAATGGAAGAGAAGGGGAATGCTTAGGAGGGGAGAGGAGAGGTCAGGGCAGGCCCTTGGAGGGGTGCTCAGGGGTAGGCTGGGTGAAGAGGAAGAGGCCACAGCAAGCAGAGAACATTCTAAGGAGAAGTTTGACATTAAGGGAGGAAAGACAGACAGTGTTGGCCCAGGGGTACAGGGTGAAGGGCAGGCATTTTCAGGATGGGGACCTTTGAATATGTCTTTGGTCTGAGGGAGTAGAGCTCATGCAAAGTAAGAGGCTGAAAATACAGGAGAGAAGGTTTACTGGATTAAGAATTAATAGCGTGGAGCTCCAAACAGAAAGGCAGGGACAACAGCAGTTGTGGGGAGAGGGCTGGACTTTGACAGGTGGAAGGGCAGGTCTGCCTCTGAGATGGAAAGCAAGGGTGTCAGTGGAGAAGACACAAGGAGAATTTTCAGGGGAAGGAGTCCATGCAGGTGACTTCATTGATCATCACGATGTAGCCGTTTAGCAGCAACCTCTGCCCCTTATTGAGTGTTTGCCATGTGCCAGCCCCAGAGATAAGCACTCTGCACACTATCAAATCAATATTACCAATGGTTTTCTGGTAGTAACTATTAAAACTCCCATTTTACAGATAAGCAAACTGAGGTCCAGAGTGGCAAATAAGCCAGTAATAAATGTCAAATGTGGATAAGAAAGTAGATTCATCATATTCCAAGGGCTCTGTTTTTATTTAAACACTTATTAAATTGAATAACAACACACATGCAGGCACACACGCACGTGCACACACGTGCTCCTGCACACACACACGCCAGCTTCCTGGCCCTGGCAGAGCCAGGATCAAGGATCCAGAAGACCTGAGCTAGTTCTGGTTGCTTTCATTTCTCAAAATCTATATTTCAGGTCCCAAGTCCCCAGAGTCTGAGCCATAGATCTGGAGAAGGGCTTGGAATATACATTTTCTTCAAGGTTACATCTTGATATGATTCTGACACAACAACTGATTCAGTGCTTCACATTTTGAGAAACCCAGAACTAGGGTTTTATTATGCTAATGGGTTCTTGGCTAAATAAAATATTTCTCAGCAGGGTCCAGCTTTTGAATTACTGCGGGAGTTTGTTGATATTGGCAACTTACAGTCTTCTTACCTCTACAATGACCTTGGGGTCAAACTGGGGCAGACGATGGATGAAGACTGTAGCCCCTGCTGTCCATGGTTCAAACAGGCACCCCAAGATAGCCAGAATCCAGCCCGGGTCTGCCATGCACCACATGGTATCAGACGTCTTCAGCTGCAGCAATTTCCTGCTAACTCCAAAACACAGTGGCCTCAGTTATGTCAGCACGGGAGGAAGTGATCAGGGCTGGGGACTCTGGCTTTCCTGTCCCTCTTAGTTCATTGGGTGTATGTGGGGCTCTAGATCCATCCCTTCCCCAGGTTTCAAAAGTACGCGAAGTCATATTTCCTGGTCATGTTCGACTCTAACTGGCTCAATTCTAACGATCCTTAAGGCTGGGGATATTGGACAAAGTCTGTTGCTCTTGTTCTGGATTTGAATGTGTTACTGAGATAGTCCAGGGTGATGCTGGCAGCTATTTTGGGATAATAAAGGGTGAGCCTTTCTGAGAAGAGCACCAAAATAGAGCAGAAAGAAAGCTGACAGATGGAGAGATAAAAGCCCAACCCAGAGGCTTTCCAGCTCTGTCCGTAGCCGAACCCTGGAGCACCCTGCTTCATGATCCTTTCCTCACTCTTTGGCTCACAGAGGTTTTGACATTTGTGATGGGAAGAGAGAGAGAGAGGCAGGCCTAATTAATACCCCATCTTGGCAATGGACTGCAAACAATTAGCCAAAAGCAATAATTGGAAGAGGGAGTGGAGGAGGCTTCTCATTTCTCTCCCTAATGCTCTTCTGAGGGACCTCTGAGCACTATAACGTCTTGAGAAAACACACCTGTCCATTAGCCAACAGTGGCTTTGAGGAGGTTTTATGTTAGAAGAGAGGGGCTTTGATAAGCCATCCACACTCCCTCATCCCATTTCTCCTAGGACTGTGGCTCACCCTCAGGAGGTTACCAGTCAGGAGGACCTCTCTTCTGACCCTCAGACCCAAGAGCCCACTGAGCATCTCCTCTGGGGTGTCTCTCAGGCACCTCAAACCCAGCAGATCCTGATCTCCCCTGCCTCCCTTGGACGAATTCTTTCTGCCCCACTGTTCTCTATATTTCAGTGATGGTTCACCACTGCCCACAAACCTATCCAAGCCTGAAATCTGGGAATCAACCTGGACTCCTTTTCTTATCTCCCACCTGTGGCAGCAGATCCTGTCCATTTTATCTCCTAAAATCTAAAATGTGTTAACTCCTTCATGCCTCTGGCACCTTGTCCAAGCCACCACCATTTGGGTTTCTTCAGGACCCTCTAACTGGTCTTTCAAACTCCATTCTAACTTCTCCCAATCCATTGCTCATCTTGCAGCCACAGTAATCTCAAAATACAAATCTAATCAGGTGTCTCCCTTGCAAAAACCTTTCAGTACCTCCCACTGTTTTCATAATAAACTCTGAACTTTACATCAAGGCCCACATGACCCTCCATGATCTGGGCCCTGCTCACTTTCCCAATACCTCCAGTCCACCCCTTACATGACATTCTGACCATCAGCTATATTCAAATCTCTGCAGTTGTATGGTACTTTTTATACCTTTGTGCCTTTGCTCTATCAGGCTGCACAGAAAGCCTTTCCCTTCCTCCCCCACCTTCCTCCAGGGTTTTTCTACTCAGTCCTCATCATTAGTACAGATGCCCACTGTCTGCAAGAAGGCTTCCCTGGCTGCAATCTGGTTAGTAAGTTAGAAAATATACAGAATTTTGGTCTTAATATTACTAGTTGAGGAGGGCACAGAGGGCAGACAAGGTTTGGTTTAAAATTGATTAAATGATTAACTCAAGGCCACAGCTTCAGCCTCTGTGTTTGTTCTAGGTTAGGGGCCATGGCTTGTTTCCAGCTATCATTTTTGCTAACAGAGCATGATTGAGAACTGCAAGCTTGCTTTATCCACAATGGGTGAGAGGAGAGGACTTGTCACCTTATTTGACATTGTTACAACCTTCTGTCTTTCCCCACTGAACCCCGGGACCACAGGCAGAAACAATGGCTTGCCTTTGGGTGGTCTGCTTGAAAGCCTGCTGCCCACCCTCCCACCCATGCACCTCCTTTGTCTTTCAGAGGCATCAGTCTGGTGAACCCTTAGGATTCCGGGCATTCACCCCTCAGACTCTAGGCAGTCTGAGCCAAAGAGGGCAGACGGGAGAAAAGGATGGAGCCAATTCTACTTACAGCTGCTTCCCAGCAGACACGCACGCACGCACGCACGCACGCACGCACGCACACTGCATCGGATCTGTGCCCCGCCTCGGCATCAGTGCTGTTTCCTACCATGATGGGAAGGAGGAGTGGAAGGCGAGTCCATGGTTGTGTTTCGCCATCTTGGGGAGGCCTGTGGTCCCACTGGTGAAGAAGATGGCCATTGGGTCCAGGACCTTTGACTTAATACAGGTGTGATCTGGGGATGCTGATCTGCGAAGGAGAGAAGTCATGCTTCCTGCTTTCCCACCCTCGGGGAGAGCAAAGGAACTGATATGAGGCTTGGAGTCAGACGTGGATGACTTGGATAAGTAGACTGACATTGCATTTGAAAAATGGAGAAAAGGCAATGGATTATTTTTAAATCTAACAAACACTGAAATAACATTTACTGTGTTTCCCATGATGCTCTAAATGATTCACAAGTAAGGAATTGTTCATTCTTCAGAGCAACCCTAAGAGGTGAGTACCGCTCTTATGTGCATTTTGCAGATGAGGAAACTGAGACCCATGGAGATTAGGCAACCTGCCTGAAGACATACCCAGCAAAAGTGGTGGACCCAGGATTCAAACTCATACAGTCTGATCCACACACTGTGCTCTTAATCACGCTAAGCTTGTTTTTCACACATAACTAGTTCTTTGGGAATTTAACTCCTTAACCTTGGTGATGAGGGGTGAGGAAGAGATAGTGAGGGACAGTAACAGTGAAAGAAATATATGTAGATGTGCATGTGCTCTGGCATGAGCTTGAGGTGGTGGAGAGAATCTTAGTTCCCTCAGTCTGCCTTGATTCTTGGGAGTTTCTACTAGATTGAGTGTCTCTTGTACCCACTATGATTGTAGGTGCAAGCTTCTTATGTGCTTAGTCAGACAAACTGCAAACAATCCCAGTGCTGTAGGAAACACCAGCTTTGGCTGAGAAATGACAGCATCCCAGCTCTGAGCAACTGAAGGGAGTTTTCAAGAGTAGCTTTATTCAAGCTACTTTCATTTCATTCTCTGATTTTCAAATATAGGAAGATGTGACTCCAGTGTAGTATTCGCCTTTTGGGGTTGAAATAAAGAGGTTTAAAAACTGACAGGGTACTTCAAGAAAACAAACCTGCATGGTTTGTGTGTGATATGAAAAATGCCAGAAGGCTTGCAGAGTTTTTGAGGTAGAAGGGTTGTTCCAAAATCAACACTTCTCTAACTTTTCCTGCCATGATGGGACCTTAGGTCCTGCCATGATGGGACCAGGGTCACCCGGACCTTAGGACATGGAAAGTGTTTGCTCTCCAAGCTGGCTGCCAGCCACAGCCTTGAACCTTTTTCTTGTCATCTCAAGTTTTACCTTAAAAATCCATTTTAGTCTTATATTCAACTTCTTCATATATTTATTTTTTTATATAAAAACAGTATTTCAAATTCCCTACCTACAATGCAACAAAATAACCCCCTGACTTTACACATCTCCTTTGCAGAGGGGTGACTGCACTTTAGTGACAGAGTCATGGAAGTTCAATTTCCTTATTTTACAGATAAACCAATTGCAGCCAAGAGATGGGAAGGTACTAGGCCAGGGTCACACAGCACATCAGTGAAGATCAGAGAAGAGGTTCCTGGGTCAGACCTGGTGAGCTTCAGTACTTGTCCACCAGCACCTGGGAGTGAATGGCGTTCTGCCGTTCCTCAGGCCATATACTCACTTAACCAGTGATCGGAAGTCCAGCCAACCTTCACGGCTGTGGTCAGACACCAGGAGCTTCGTTTTCAGACCAGGACACTCGGAAGCCACCGAGTCCACCTCGGGGGCAAGGGTATCCGTAGTCACAATGCCCTTGGCTTTGGACATCTGTAGACGGTAGAGAATGTCCCTGGCAGTCAGCTGGGTGGTTCCTGGCATAAAGGTGATCCCTGAGGATGAGAAAGTGACCTGTCTTTCACAACTGGGAGCTTCAGGCCTGGCTTATATGCCCAGAAATCCTCCAACCTGTTGCTGTGCAAATTATGCCCTGAAGACCAGTAGCACCATCAGCACTGCCAAGGACAGGGTCCCACGCCCCCACCCAATCCTACTGCAGGGGAATCTGCATTTTAGTAAGATCTCTGAGTGAGTCCAATGCATGTTAAGATGTGAAATGCCTGCCCTAAACTTCCTACTCTAGATGGATCTAGCCAGCAGACAGGTGGATCCTACTTTACACACCTTTGCATGGGGTTTGGGAATATAGGTGTGCAAGGACGGTGCCCCTGACATCAGGAACACCTGCGTCCCTGCCCCATTTTTCTCCCCACTTCCTTCTCTGTTAGTCCCTGTGTCATCTTGAATATCGTCTGTCTCCTTCATTCTTCATATCCAAATTCAGCCATTGTCCTCTGAACTGTCCTCCCTCCCCTTCCATTTTCCATGACCAACAATTAGTTCAAGCCTTCATGGCCCTGATTTGATTCTAATGTCTCCACTGATGCCCTGTCCTGAACCCTCCCATTACCCTCTTCCGCATTATCACCGGCTCATGTTCCACAGAGCAATGACTTTTCCCCTCCACACTTCTTCCCTTCACTAATGTCTGTACCCTCTCTCCAGAAAAGCACCACATGCCTGACATTGGCAGGCACTGCCCATCCTTCACCTTTCTTTCCCACAACTCTATTCTCTATTTCAAAATGGCCTTTCTTGATAAAGGTTACTCCTGATGCTGTGCCCACTTTTGGAATTTTTGCTTCTACTCGTCTTTGATTCTGATTATCCCCGAGGGCTCAGACCACGTCTTGGACTTCCATGGGCTGTGTCTTAGCTCTACAGATGACACAGCATCTCTATACTCCCTCTGCTGTTGCCGTTAATCCTTGATACTAGATGACCTTGATAGATCACGATACATTAATCAATGATTTTATCTGTGAGAGAATATGAACAAGGGCATGAGAGATTGTTGTAAAAGCATGCATGATAGAATTGAAGTAATTCAAAAAAGAATCCATGACTGCCATATGGATTCCAAATTGTATAGATTAGTAGACAGGCAATTAAAAGGGGAAGGAAAATCTCTAAAGAATGTTGGCTAATGAATGTAGAAGGAATGATATAAATAGAAAATCCTCATATAAAGCCACCATAAAATATTCAATTCAGTCAACAATCACCAGTGGATTCTCAAGCCACAGGTGAAAGACAGCTGGGGAACAGGATACCATACACCATCTCCTAAGAATTACACCACAGATCACTTACTAATTACAAAGGGAAATGGTGCCTTTTTACAAAGGTAGATACCACCTCTCTAAAGTGATAAAACAACTTCCTGTAATCCCCTGATGTTATACTGAGAAAGACACAATATTGACCTTCTTGGACTCCTGATAAAAGCATTTAACCTCAATCTAATCATGAAGAAAGTCAGAAATGCAAATTTGGAGGGACCTCCTGCCAAACAACTGGCTTAGACACTTGAGAAACGTCACTGTCATGAAGAAAAGGCTAGAGAGACATCCTGGACTAAAGGAGGCTGAGGACACATGGCAACTAAACCTGATCCACAAGCCTCAGCTGGATTTGGGATTTAAATAAAAAATTGCCAGGAAGGAGATTATTGAGACAATTGAGGAATCTGGACTCTGGCTGTATATCAGGCAGCTACCGTGTGTCAGTGTCAGCTCCCTGTGTGACAGCGCTGGTGCGGCCACATGAAGGCATGTCTTGGATCGTAGCAGATGCGAGGTGGAGGTGCAGTGTTTCCAGTCTCCATCCGGTGCTTATGGGTGTCACCGTGTCTGCAGCTGATTCTTAAATGACTCAATGGGGGCACGGGGCTCAAATATAGGAAAATGTTAACACTTGAATCTTAAGAGAAAGTAGGAATTCTGAGACTGTGGAAGAGAAAGTCTGTGTGTGTATGAAGGAGAGAACTATGACATTCTGTTTGGCAGTGTGAGTGGGAGGGATGGTGTGAGAAGGAGTAAAAGAATATTTGAGGGAGACTGAGAAACAGAAGGACTATGAAGAAATAAGAAGGTCAGAGAAGAGAAAGTAGCTAATATTCCAGGACCAGCTGGCCCAAGCCAGCCATGAGGTCTCCTGGCATCTCTGAGATACTGACCTGTTCGCATGCAGCCCATGGTCACCAGCCACCACTCAGGCACTCGGGGCAGAATTAAAGCCAGACGGTCTCCCGGCTGCAGGCCACAGGTCTGCGTGAAGACGTTGGCCGCTCGGCAGGATAAATCAGTCACCTCTCTGAAACTCCACTTCACTTCATCCCCTTCGTCATTCACCCACCAGAGGGCTGGGCTGGGACCTCTCTTGCCCTCCTGGCCAAGACCATACACTGTGAGTTACTTCCTGCTTCAGAGGAAAAGGGTACTGACTTGGCCAGTCCATTACCATAGTCAAGTTCCAGTATGAGTGTAGCTCAAGCACTGAGATACCATTTTGAAGCATTTATAGATGCAAGAGAAGATGGGGGTGGGACGTGATCCGGTTAACTTCTCTATGGTAGCCACCTGCTCTGAAAACTATTCACGTCATGAAAAACTATGAATAGCCCTTATGTCACTTATTGAAGACTTAACATTTAATTTCCCCATGTGTCTGTCTTAGTTCCATTTGAACAGTAGGGTAATCTCTGCCCCCTGTTTTCTCATCTATGAAATGGGTACAGTAATACTACCCAGAAGGTAGTAAAGTTTAAATTAGTTATTTTGAAAGGTAAAGTGTGTATGATGGTACCTGGCACACACTAGGTGCTCAATAAAATTACTATTATCATTATAGCAAAATAACAGAGGCTAATTTAATTCCTGAATATCTGGGGGAACTTGTTTTAAATTAAGGTGCCTGTAGAGGTGAAATTATCAAGAAGGCAGATGAAGAAGCTCCAGGCCCTCATTCCCTCACAGAAACATCAAGTAACCAGATGACAATAGCTCTGTATTTTCTGCGGCAACCGACAAATACCCAAATAATAGAAAGCCATACCCAGAGTGCTGGGACACTTTCTGTTGTTCTGATCCCCTCACACTCTCTCTGGTGTGGTGCAGTGTGGCTAGGAGGAAGTCACCCATTCCCAGTCCCTGCCTTGCAGCAGAGGGGAAAGAGTGTGACTTGTCTGCAATGTTCTGGCTTGTCTGGAGGCTGCCTGGAGGACTAGTTTCTGTCCCATCCGACTTGAGGTTCAGATAGGAATGGTGACACGGCCTGAATATTAGGTTGGAGGTTTCTGAAAGCAGTGGCAGATGCCACAGTGCATGGGAACTGTAGACCTGTGGCTAGAAGGTAGTAGGGTTATGTATTTTAAGTGATGCAGGAAAAAACCCCTAGCAACCAAGAATTATGTATTTGGCAAAACTGTCCTTCAAAATGAGGGAGAAATTAGGATAGTCTCAGACAAAAATTTTCTCAGAAAAGATTATCAACAAACATTGGGGGAGTTCATTACCACTAGACTTGCTCTACAAGGAATGCTAAAAGTATTCCAAGTTTTAATAAAAGGGCATTGGAGAGTAACTAAAATACAAAAATATAAAGCACTTTGATAAAGATAAATACATAGACAAATATGAAAACACATTATAATTTTGGTTCATAATTCTAATTTTCTTTCACAATACTTGAAAGACAAAAGCATAAAAAATTATAAATTTATGTTAGTGGGTATACGATATATAAAGAGTAATTTGTGACGTCAATAACACAACGTGGAGAGGTGAGATGGACCTGCAAAAGAGTAGGGTTTTTGCATGTGAATAAAGTTAAATTGTTATTAGGTTAGAACAGATTGTTATAACTTTAAGATGTTATATGTAATCCCCGTGGTGCCCATAAAGAAATTATCAATAGAATATTCACAAAAGGAATTGAGAAGGGAATTAAAACATATCGCTACAAAAAATCAAGTAAACACAAAGGAAAGCAGTAAGAGGAAAGAAGGGACCAAAAAACTATGACATCAAGGAAACAATAAACAATATGGCAACAGTAAGTCCTCCCTTATTAGTAATTACTTTAAATGTAAGTGGACTAAATTTCCCAAAGGACGCAGGTTGGCAGAATGAATTTAAAAAAAAAAAACAGGATCCAACTATATGGTGTCTACAAAAGTTGTTAATTCTATATGATGAAATATGGTAAAACCAATCAAGAATACTTTCAGAATTTTTTTTTGCAATAAAAATCCCACAATACAACTTTAAAAAGCAAAACTATATTTACATTATAACTGAAATTTATATAGTTGTATCCATTTACACATTCTCTATGTATTTACTAAGTTCTCATTATTTCTTAGAAATGATTCTTAAATCAAAAGGATACAATGGTGAACATGACATATGTAAATGGTTTTAAATATTTATGGACATGTGTAAATGGTTTTAAATATTTATGGCCAATTTTCATTTTCTTGTTTAAATCAACTTTCTCATTTTCCTAACGTTTTCAATAACGAGCATACTTTTTAAAAAGACCATTTTTTAAGAATCTCCAAAACAAAACATGTCCATAGTAAAATTTCATGGAATGCAGAATACGAGCAGAAAAATTTCTACAGCATTCTTGTCACATTTTGACTCCCTGAAGTTCAACACCTGGCAATTGTTTGGTGTATATACTTCAGCAATTTTTTCCCACAAAAATATGATCGTACCATTTTGCATCATATGATTGGAACAAAAGAGTGTATCTGACCTGAGGTAAGACTAATATATGTATATACATACGTGAATATTCATTTCTATGAAAAAATCAGTGCTATGGAAAAAATTCTTGCCCAAAGGATTAAAGAAAATAAGCAAGTGTGAATGACTAGTTATGCACTCCTTATATAAAGAATAGTAGAGTAAGTAGTATTCCTGTAGGAGTTTTAAAAATGATGGAGAAGCTAGTATATCAAGGTAGAAAACAATTGTTATTCAGAATTCAGAGAGTGTAACATAATTCAGACAACAGCTCTTACAGTTTTTAAAAGATATTGCTTAAACCTAAGTGTCCATCAGTAGATGAATGGATAAAGAAGAGGTGGGACATATACACAATGGAATACTATTCGGCCATAAGAAAGAAACAAACCCTACCATTTGCAACAACATGGATGGAGCTGGAGGACATTATGCTCAGTGAAATAAGCCAGGCAGAGAAAGACAAGTACCAAATGATTTCCCTCATTTGTGGAGTATAACAATGAAGCAAAACTGAAGGAACAAAATAGCAGCAGACTCAGAGACTCCAAGAATGAACTAGTGGTTACCAAAGGGGAGGGGTGTGGGAGGGCGGGTGGGGAGGGAGGGAGAAGGGGATTGAGGGGTATTATGTTTAGTACAGATGGTGTGAGGGATCACAGTGAGAACAGTGTAGCACAGAGAAGGCACATAGTGGATCTCTGGTAACTTGCTGCACTGATGGACAGTGACTGCGTTGGGGTGTGGGTGGGAACTTGATAATATGGGTAAATGTAGTAACCACATTGTTTTTTCATGTGAAACCTTCATAAGAGTGCATATCAATCATACCTTAATAAAAAATTTAAAAAAAGATATTGCCTAAGCAGTTATAGATTTTTGTGTTAATGGTTAATCTGATGTGATATTGAAATTGGGCTATTTTCAAGGAGATAAAAACAACTTTGAAACTGGATTTAAAGTTTGAACATTTATGCAGTGAGATTAAAGCTAAAGGAGATTGAGAAATCGTTTTAAAGATAAAATGCTTAGTAACTAACTCAGAAATAAGAAAGGAATGAACAACCAATATACAAGGCAACATGGTTGAATCTCAAAAACATTGTGCTGAGTAAAAGAAACCAGACACAAAAGGGTGCATCCTATAGTACCCCATTTTTATGAAACCATTGGGAAGAGAAATATAATCTTTTGTGACAACGGATCAGTGGTTATCGGGGACTCAGGGTGGAAGCAGATGGGGACCAACTGGGAAAGGATAAAAGGAAACTTCTGAGGTGATAAAAATGTCCTAAAACTCAAACTTTACACCTAAAATGTGTACATTTTATTCTATGTAAATCATCAACATAGTTGATTTAAATAAATAAAAACCTACATGGTTAATCTTTGCTAATCTCCAACTCAAATACACTCTGAAGAAGGTAAATTGGGAAGGTAGATCAATTACTTAGGTGATTCATGAATGAGATGATTCTTTCTGAATATTAAAACACCTATGAGTTTATTGCCTAGAGAAAGAACTTGCTGCAGCATTAATTACAGGGAAGTACAAGCTGAAATTCAGTGATTTCTGTAAATTAATGGTAGAATGTGATAGATTGATATAATTTAAATCCTTATTAGCATCGTTAGAACACTTTACCCAACAATAATATGATTCGATTCTTTTCCATTACATTTGGTATGTTTCCCAACCTCAAGACAATTCAAACTTTTAAAATAGAGTATGTTTTCTGACTGCAATGAAATTAAACTAGAAATTGTTAACAACAAGATTATGAGGAACCCACCCCAATTATCTGGAAACTAATGAATACACTTCTGTCTAATCTATGGGCCAGAGAAGAATCGAAATGGCAAATTGGAAATACTTTAGACTGAATGATAATAAAATATGACATATCAAAATGTGTGTCATGAACTTAACAGGACTGTTAGTGGGAAATTTATATTTTTAAATATATGTATTAGAAAAGAAGGAAGTACAAAAGGCAAGGATATAAGCTTCCATCTCAAGAAGCTCAAGAGAGAAGAGCAAATCAAACCAAAGTAGAAGGAAAGAAATAATAAAGTTAAGAGCATTCATTAATGAAATGGAAAACAAATACACAACAGAATATCAGTAAAGCCAAAGCTGGTTTTAAAAAGGTTAATAAAAATAGATGAACTCTTAGGAGGACTTATCAAGGGAAAAAAAGACAATAAACATATTAACAATATCAGGAATGAAAAAGTGTACGTTACTACAATTCTTGCCGACATTAAAATAACAATAAGAGAAAATTATGAGTAATGTTATGCCAATAAACCTGACAATTTGAACAAATTGCTCAAAAAGTAATACAACTTGCCAAAGCTGACAGAATCAAAATCTTAGTAATTTTGTATCTCTTAAAGAATTAAATCCATTACTAAAAGCTTTCCTACAATGAAAAATCCCCAGGATTTACGGCGAAATTCTAAAATCTAAAGAGGAAAAATGAAGTCAAATGTTTTGTTTACTTTGCCAGTTTCTTTATCTAGAAGAGTGCTTGACACATGTCAGGGAGTTGCCATGTGTTAGATGAACTGAATGAATGAAGACTGAAAGAAACAGAATGAATGAATTTGTATGCCCTCTCCAATATGGGTGCCTGCTCACCTTCTCCATCTGAGTCCAGTAATCTAGTACGTTGCTTGCAAAGTTAAATTCCTTCGGTACAGTGTGGTCATTCCATCTTGGGGCTCCAGCTCCTGATAAAGACTGACAGCGCTGGTGCCAAGGGGCAGGGTGGAAGCCACGGTAGAATTTGCAGATTCCCTTGAGGACCCAGAACCTCGTCAGCCACTGCATGGTGGGGCAGTCCTCAGGTTGCAGGCCCAGAATTCTCAGGTCACCACCTGCAGTGGGAAGAGAGGCTAACAGGTTGGTCATGGAGCAGGAATTTCCTCTACAAAATGAACCTCCTTGGACTCGTGCCAGGGAATGATCATCAAAAAGCCTCCACAGGGATCCGGGCGATGCTGCGGTTGTGGCTGCGTCCATCCCACCGTTTCCTGGACTTGCCACTGGAATGAGGAGGGAGATGTCTAGGCTGGCATGTGCATACAGTGAGACAACGAATTTGACTGGATCTGTACTGTTGGAACTCAACCAGGAGTTGGGAGGGGTGCAAGTTGTAGCACCCCAAAATCTCATGACTATAGACTATCTATGGTTAAAAGAACATATGGGATGTGAACAGATCCCAGAAATGGGCTGCTTTAATTTGTCTGATGGTTCAAGTACAGTTGGACAATATCCATCATATCATAGATAAATTTTCACAAATGCCTAGGGTGCCTAAATGGTTTTCTTGGCTTCACTGGAGATGGCTGGTAATTATAGATTTGCTTTGTTTATGTCACCGTATTCCTATTATGTTAATATGTGTGTGCAAATTAGTTAGTAGTTTAAAACCTATACATACTTAAGGTACTATACAAGAAGATATGTCAAAGAAATAATCAATCCTCCCAAGTTTCCTTCATATGCTACATCTATAGCTTTTCTTCTTCCTTCCTAATTACAACCCTTAAATAGAATTCGTGCCTCATATCGAATTTACCGAGTATCATAATTCCTCCAGGTGGTAAAGATACCTCGAGACAAGTGCTGGGCATAGAAGCCACAGGGCATAAATCTGCAAAGAAGTAAAAAGCTAACCTTTTCAAACAATATGGCTTCTCTCTCACTTACCAACTTTACATTTCCCTGTATGGCCCCGGAAGATGACTGGTTAGCCAGAGACGGGTAAGATTCCTCAAGGGAGGAACAACCTAAGACAGGCACAGTCGCAGGGGGGCCATCAGGTGAGAATTTGGGGATCAACAGAGGTGAGGCTCAGAACCTCACCCCCCCTGCTTTGAGAGAAATCTTCTGCATCCGTGGATGTCTTGCTGCCCTTGTCTAGCCTGGATTAATACTTAGTCCATAGGCACACACCTGATCATCTACATTTGCCCTCTTACAACACTAAACTATGTTTTCTACCTTTATCTTGCATCTACCTACCACTTCAGCATTTTATTAAAAATAAAAATAATAATAATAATAAAGGGAGAAATGTGGGATCCACATATAAATCAAGTATAAAAATCAAACGAATATTCATATTTGACCTGATTGTTTATAGTTCATAATGTGTGATCAAAACCGAAAGTTTCTGTGATGACTGCCCTTGTACTGTTCACCATGTAAGAACTTATTCACTATGTAAGAATTCATTCACCATGTAAGAACTTGTTCGTTATGCTTCAGAAGATTGGAGGCTGACGAGAATTAGGCTTGAGATGGATTAATGATTGTGCATTGAGCATTGACCCCCTATACGGAATATTATTGTTGTTAACAACCATTTGATCAATAAATATGAGAGATGCCCTCTCAAAAAAAAAATGAGCCTCCTTGGTTAATTGCTAGAGTAGTAACTTTGTTTCAGCTCGGCAGAATTTGGAAGGCAAGTCTCATTGATTTAGGTGGAGCTTTCTCTTCTCAGCTGAGGACCTACAGGCAGAAAGTGATAGGGAGGGGCCATAGCTAGCCGCTGAGGTTGGTTCATATTCCTGAGGGTTTCCTTCTGGGATTTAAGCTTGGGATGCCAGCCACATGGCCCTCCCCTCGTGGTACAAACTTACCGTTTTAAAAGCTCTGCACCACTTGCTATTGTTGATCAAGAGACCTCTCTTCCCACCTATCCAACTGTGTGGTTCCCATGAAAGTGGTCATGTTTTCAGATGATTCTACTGCCCATCCAAAATTAATGAGCAGGCATCCCCTGTGATTTTTAATCCCAACTGGACTAACCATAATCCTTTTCCAAAACCTGTGTGTGTGCTTGTTTCTGCGGGGTATATGCAGGGGTCTCTGGTGGAAGCCATGAGCTAAACATTTTGGGAAGTGGTGGTGGCCATGATCCCTGCATATGAATATGAGTGCTCTGTGTGACAGAAAGTGCATGTGTGAACCAGCAGTCTTTCCTGCCTAACATTAGCTGTCTGTCACTTGCAACTCTAAGGATATTGCCAAAAATACACCACCATACTCAGAACAGACAAGGTTAATATCTCAGCACTTTCCCTTCTGGGCTGGGAACTGGCCCCAGGGTCTCCCCAGGATGCTGGCCTGGGGAGTTATTACTAACCCATCAGAGTTGACCCAAGAAATGGAACTTCATTGCCACTCCAGATCCCCAAAAATGCCCCTAACATGGGTGCAGAATCCTCATTTATTAGGGTCCTTCTTGAAGTTTGATTGTGGAAATTGTCTTAAGCTAGAACTGTCTTTCCAGGAGAAGACTGAAGAAAACCACTTCACAAACAGCTTTGAGATTCAAGCACTTTATCTCTGCAAACAATTAACCCCTTCAGTTTCAAAATAAGATAATATTGTTTGATAGACAGATCAAACCAAAATTGACTCAGTTTACTTCCAGGCAGTTTAAACCTGTAACAACCTAACCACAATTAAGTTTGATGCTGCCCCCACCATGCAGTCCTAGCAGGTGACCCCTCTAAATATGCAGTTGGGGTTACAAGGATATAAAAGAGGATAGGCAAATGGAAAGCTCATTTCCTACAGTTTGCTTTCCACGTGGATCCTTGGGCCACATGAACTAATACATGTCCCCTTCCTTTTTAGTGCCTGTCAACCAACAGTACCATCTTCTGTTTTATCAGAGCATCTTTGGTCAAGAAAGACACTAAGGTATCAGCTGGCTCAGACCTGGTCCTATGTGCTATATACTATATAGTATCCATACTATACCAAGTATTTATCACTATCTATATCTATAACCATATCATATTTTTAACTATATGACTATGCCTATATCTATGTCTGTACTTATCTAGGAATATATTGATATCTATATGTCTATCACTATATATAACTAACTATAACTACATCTGTATCTATAACTATATTACATGTATATGTATTCCTCACAATGCCTGACATAATAAGCACTCAACAAAATATTAGATTCTTCCCCTTTTGTCATAATTCAGAAATCTAGGAGATGAAAACTGGGGAGAGAAGAGCCAGTGTGCCCTCAGAATGTCTGAATTACAGAAAAATGCATTTTTTTCATTCATCAAATATTGTGGATCTGCTCTGTGCCATATAATGTTTAGAGACCAACAGAGATGAATTAGACCGCTAGAGTTCCTACCCTCTGGAGATGACAGTCAAAGCACAGCCTATGAACTAGTGGCTAAACAATCTTTCGAAATGCTTTAAAGTGTATTTTGAAATCACTTTGGCAGTGTGGAATTGAGAGGGGGCTGGCTCATTCCATGTGCCCAAGTACACAGTGCCTTGAAGAATTCCTGCAACAGCTTTGGTTTCTTAAGTTTTTGGACTGAAAAAGCTATTTACTTTTCTAAGAAAACATACTTATTATGTTGTAGGCACCTCACAGTTACAGAGCCAGGCTTGACTTCACTGCTTCCAGCTGGATGATCTTGGCCACTTTTTGTCTCTGAATGAGGGCGTAGTAACACCTACCATCTAGCTTCCCAGAAAGTCAGCATGATGATCTATACAATTCACTTTGCCAGCACTGTGTCTAATACACAGAAAAGGCTCAAAAAATGCTGAGGTGCCCTTAATTCCCAGTAAATAGTGAAGTCAACCCTCCAGTTAAATATTAAAAACACCTATTTAAAAAAATGAAAGGTATTCACTTTATATAATGTGAACCTACTTCTGCATAGTAGAGATTTCTTTTGAGTATCCACCTTCTGGATCTTTTTTTAGTTCCCTTTGCACTTTACTCCCACCTCCCATTGTATGCAGAGCTGCCTAACATTAAATCCATCTCCGTGCGTGCGTGGGCCAGCCACTGTGCTGGGCAGATTCCATGGATATTCCCATGTATCCCTCTACTCAATATCACTGTCCTCATTTTGCAGATAAGGAAGTGATGTATCCAAGAAGTTGAAATTTCCCCAAGATCAGCCAACCTGTAAGTGGCATTGCCAGAACTTGAAACTGGACCTTCAGATTTTAAGTTCAGAGCTCTGTATGTATTTTGCTGCCTTGTGGCAGGTACACACACGCACGCACGCACGCACACACACGAAAGGAGCTGTCATTTGCTTCTGTCTTACCTGTCCTGTCTAGGAAGCAGCTGGGCTAGGTCTCAAGCTGGTATAGAAAAGCAGACTCTACATGTCCAGCTCTGTCTGATCTGCAACTCCAGAAGTGTGCACCCACAGAGCTGGCCACTGCTAGAGCAGAGAACTTGGCAGCAACTGGATGATTGAGGGGGAGGAGATGCTTGAGTAGAACAGGGCAGAAAACCACCACAGGCCTCCATGGAGAGAGGACCATCAGTTAAAAAGCAATCTATGTGCAGTCTCAGATTCCTCTGGGATGTACTGTGGTGTGTGTGAACGAAGAAAGTCCAGTGGGGCATGTTCCCTGGTTCTGCCTGGCTAACCTGCTCCCCTTTCCCAGCCCTGTCCCTCCAACATTTTCATTTAAATGACAGTCAAGTGGCATTGTGGCCCAGTAGTTAAAGCCTGTGCTGAGGAGGCAGGAAGATTTTTGTTTAAGCCTCAGATCTGCCACTTAGTCCCTGGACCCAGGAGGGATATAGGAGATGGAATTGTACTCATGAGTGGGCAGAGAAAAATGACCCCCCCAAAAAAGTCATCAATGACTCCATCAAAAAGCTGGATATTAGTTCCTGTAAATACTCCTGCTCTTCCGAAAAAAATGCCCCTACTCTGCTCACTTCTCCCAACCATTACTCCTTCTGTGGGCTGACTGCTTCTCTTGGTGGACTGAAGGCATAGTTAGGTAATTAAAATTAAGTAAGAGGTTGCTACTGAGCAGAGTTCACGCAGCTGGTGTGCTGTGCCCAGATCACGCAGCTGGTGTGCTGTGCCCAGATTGGCTGCAGCCTTGATCGCTGAGGCAGATACATTCTCTTGTCCCCCAGCCCTGCCCTGCACACTCACCCCTCTCAAACATTAATCTCTAGTTCCTAGTTGTTTATCTGAGCCCTGCTAGCTGCTTCCTCCTGCAGGAGCCCCATGAATCTCCACTGCCCACTAGTGGTGATGCTGGATCACTCCATTTCCCAGCTGAGGAAACTGAGGCAGAGGTGGGCAGGGCAGTCCTCTGCAGTAACAGAACTAGAACTCAAACACACCCCTTCAATTAAAATAGTTAGCTACTCTCCCCACTGATCTTTGGCTTTGTCCTTTTAAGTAAGGGAATACTACTTCCTTTCTCTTCTTTTTTTTGCTCTGTGTATGATTACCTCTAGTCTTAATTACTCAACATTTTCCTTTATTGATTCCATTAAAAATTAAATAAAAAACAAAAATATATTAAGCCAAATGAAACTGTACCATGACTATAATTAGGAAATTGCCACAAGGGAAGAAACTAAAGATGAATACAATGAAATTTAGTTATTAAATCCAATTAGGATGTAGTTGCTTGCCAAATATTTGAGATGTCTTGTTCATTTTTTGTTAAAAAGGGAAATTAAGGTTTCATCAGTTACTTATTGCTATAATAATGCTGCATAACAAACAGCTCTCAAGTCTCAGTGGCTTATACACACCTATTTCTCTCTCACAAGTCTGAGACCAGCGGCGCTCCAGAGCATGCTCTCCTCACAGTGGATGGCAGAAGCACCCAAATCAAGCCAAACCACGTAAGGACATTTTAAACCTCTGCTTGCACCATGCCTGCTAACATTCCCTTGGCCGCTGCAAAGTACAGAACCAAGTTTGACCTCATGGAACACAGAGCTATATTCCTCCCTAGAGGAGGGGTGGTGGTGGGGTGAGTAGAGAGTGAATATTTGCTGAATAACAAATATTATTTGTTCAAATCTACCATAAAGGAATGGAAACCACAGAAATGGCAAACTGAAACTTCCTAATTGGCTTAAGTGACAAGAACTGGGAAACGACTGGCTTAACCCAAGCATAATTCAGGGCCTAGTGGTAAGCTTGCTCTGGTTCCGAACAAAATCAGGGTTCTTTCAGCAAAGAACAGGATGGTGTGGAGGTGGTAGAGAAGAACAGCCACTGGGCAGGTGTACCAGTCTGCAAGGGCTGCTCTGACAACACACCATACTCCTGGTGGCGTAAACAACAATTATTCTCTCACAGCTCTGGAAGCTGGAAATCCAGGATCAAGGTGCTGGCAGGGTTGGTTCCCCTCGGCTTGCAGATGGCCATCCTCGCATGGCTGCCCCTCTGTGCATGCACTCCAGGGGTCTTTCTGGGTGTCCCAGTCTCCTTGTCTCATAAGGACACCAGTGAGACCAGATTAAGGCCACTCTCAAGACTGCGTTTAACTTAGCTTTTTAAAGCCTTACCTCCAAATACAGTCATGTTCTAAAGTCCTGGGGGTACCTTCAACATATGAAATTTGGAGGACACAATTCAGTCCAAAATAGGTTAAAAAAAAACAAACAGTACTTGCCACACTTTTTCAAGTCTGTCCCTTCTTCAAAAGTTGCATCATTGATTCTGTATCTTTTCTTTTCTTCCTCCCCCTTTCAATTATGTTTATTAAAGAGTAGACTACACTAGCTGTTTCCACCTTTCCCTCCCTCACTGATAACCCACAGCAATCACTTTTCTACCCATACTCTTAATTTTTTTTTTTTTGGAAACAAGATTTCTAATGTTCTTGCTGTCAAATCCAATGGACCTTTTTTAGTTCTGACTCTTGGCCATTCTGGGCAACGTTAACCAACTCATGAATTGCTCTCTCTCATCTTTCTGTTATCACATCCTACCTTCTCTGAGTTTTCTCTCTCAATATTTTCCATGGGATCCTCTTCATCTTTATTCTCTTTATGTATTATTGCTGTCCAAAACCATCTTCAGCCAACAGTTCCTCTCCTTCCTTATGCATTTGTCCATCTCATTCTCTCTCTTGCTCATTCTGTAGAGAACTTCCTAAAACACCTTGAAAATCTCGACCTCTCTCCTGAGTTCAAACTTATATGTATATCCAACTAAATACAGACTAACCTTGGTATTTCATAGAGAACCTAAATTACCATGACTGCAACTGAATTCAATTTCCCGTATCTAATCCTATTCTTCTCAGAAAGTATTACATCCACCAACCTCAGTTTACCTAATCAAAAATCAAGACTTCCTCCCTTAGGGCCTCCTCTCCATTGACCTCACCTGTCTTATTTAACACAAGGTCACCAAGTTCCAAGAAAGAATTCTTCTGTTAAGCATTTCTCAAATTCTCTTTCAGCACATTCACCAGTCAACCACCAAGGTAATCATTTAGAAATGCACTGTTGCCTGAGTTCATTATTCTCCAGATAAAGTCCAAACTCTTTGTCATGTGATATAATGACTGCCTCTTATGTCGTTTTACAGCTTGAACCTGATGTTAAAATAGTATCGATGTAAGTGAGGTGACTCCCCCTCTCCAAGGTAAGTTTGTCCTTCTGTCTAGGGCCAATAGCAGCAAGTCTGGGACAACCTGTGCCGCCAACATATACACAGTCAGTCACAGTAAGTTAGTCTGGGGAATCCTCTAGAGCCAATGACTGTCCAGGAAGTTTTTTGCCTCCCATACTGGGCCGCAGGGACTTGGCAATCATTATTTATGTCTTGGTTCTGGGGGCTACTGGGGCATCTGAAAGGACTAGACAAGGACAGGAAGGAGATGGTGGTCTACCTTTATCTCATCCTGAAAAACACAAGAGTTGGTGATTTCACTGTGGTCACAGTGAGGCATTCTTTGTGAAGGGTACCGGCTGAATATTACGATTGCTTTATACAAGCCATATTGAGAAGGGGACAGAGTGAAGGGAAGAGAGGTAGATTCTGTACTTTGGGGAGGTCACAGATTTCCCCTAAAGTATGGGCTCCCATATCAATCATTCCTGAGCCTGGAGAAGGTAAGGAGATTATGGGCCATGCACTGAGTAAGTGGAAATGATTAAAAAACTAAAACAAAAAAAACCCATTCACAGTGTAAGATTAAAAATAGCAGTGAAAGTCTCAGAATGAACAATCTGCTAGATTTTAAATTTTTTGGAAGCTGTCAGTTAACTGATACTCCCTTAAACATTGATAAATACAGACTGAGAAAAGAAAAGCTTTGCTATTTGATTAGCAGATTGCATTTCTCCTCCAGGCCAAACATAAAAGTCTGATATATTTTAGGGGACTCCAGAAGTATATCACAGTATAGCCACATTCACGTGGCTTTTTTAAAAGGTGACTATAGATGCCAAGGGCCAGAAGAGAAGGCAAACAAATGGAAGGGGTGAATAGGTGCTGTAGGCAGAAAGGCCTGTGTGCAGACCTGATGTTGTCATTGGCCAGCTCTAGGGTTGGTAGCTTTAGGGATTCAACACTTGATCAAAGTCTTAGTAACTTCTACCCTATAAAATGGGAAAACAATAGTACTGTGAACATAGTGTGTGCATAATGCCTAACATTGGCTTGATAAATGACCAGTATTATTATGACCATTGTTGCTATTATTACTAGTTTTCTTAAGAAGACCCTCAGAGATGCTTTGCTCTCTTCTCCCGCTCACTTGAACCTGCTAGGAGCATTCACCCTCCATCTCTGGGTTGTAGGTGAAGCATTATAGTCCTCTCCTCCCTCCCTGCCCTGGATCCCTGGCTTTGGGGTCCCAGAGGCCTCAGAACTGAGTCTGTGGTTTATCCTTTGGCAACACCACTCTCCCCTTTGTTTTCCCCAAAGACAATCCCCATGGTCTTGATTCAAAAATGATTTTATTACTTAATTCTAGGAAGAGTAGATATCACTGCAAACATAAGCCATGGGGGGAGGGACACTTTTGAGATGCCTACACTGTTCTCACAGCTGTGATCTGAGGTCTGTAGATGCCACACAGAGATGGAACAGGAGACTATTTATAAAGTGCCCAGGACAGTGTCTGGCACATGGCAAATGCTCAATAAATAGAGCTTCCCCTTCTCTGGTCATGTTTGCCCCAGACCAATGTCCCCACCACATACACAAGCCTCTCTGTATGGAGGTCTCGTCTCAGGGCTGAGATTGGGGTCCACGGGCTTTCGTTTCTTTCCTAAGACCTGGTATTCTGCTTCACATCTTCACTGTCGTCTCTCTGTGGGAGTAATGCTGCTTCCCTCCCTCCTTCCTCTCTCCCATCCTTCCTGTCTGCCATTGTTTTTCTTTATCATTTTCTCTATTTTTATTGAGCTCTTTCTTTTCTTCTTTTTCCTTTTTCTCTCCTTTCCTCCATACTAACCTCCTCCTTCCCTCCTTTTCTTTCTCAGTTGCTTTCTCTTGCTGTTTTAATCTTTTAATTTTTTTCCTTTTTCTCTGTTCCCTCTTCTTTACACTCTCTCATTTCTACCCTTTCTTCTTTCAATATCTAACATAGCAAGATTTTGTGCTAATAAACAGGGAAAGATAAAAATCAAATGTCATGTCATAAAGGAATCTCAGGTGCCTAGAAGAAGGTGGAAGACCTAGAGGGAAACTGATGAGAAAGAAGGGCAGGGCCCAAAGGACAGCCTCCTGCAAGTCTCACTGGGCCCAGGCTTGCCCAGATCTCTTCCACTCCTTGTCTCGAAGCTTTGCCCGCTGGATTTTCCCCGTGACAGTCTTGGGCAGGTCCGAGACAAACTCCATCTGTTGGGAAACACCAGTCCAGGGTGGGCTATCTGTGACTCCAATGGCATTGCACTTTTCAGAGGACCTGCTCTAGGGTGAGGAGATCTTGAAGCTGGAGGCTCCCAGTGAGTGAGGACAGAGCCTGCAGCACTCCCAGGTCATCCCCCTAGACAGAAAGAAGTTTCAGAAGGTGGTCTGGGACAAGGCCTAGAAAAGAATGGGTGGAATGGGGCATAAAGGTACAGTCAACTGGCCTCTGACATATCCTAGGACTGCAGAGAAGCAGTGTGATGAATACAATGTGACAGAGCAGTCAGACCCCTGAGCTTTGGCATCAGTCTCTCTCACTCCAGTCTCCCCTCGACCACTTACTTGGCTTTGGACAGATCACTTGGCTTTTCTGAGACTCAGTTTCCCCACTGAGCGAACTGGAGGATAAAAACAATTTTGCTGGGTTGCTATGAGGACAGATTGAGATTATGCCAGCTAAATTCTTGGCGTGGGGTAAATACTCAAATATATTAGCTGTGAGCCAGAGCAGTCATTGCCCCCTTTCCCCTAGCAGAAGCTAGGGTCTCCGTCTGTAGATGGGGGAATGAGACAGGGACCATAGACTTAGACAGAGTAGGGTGAGGGTCTGGGGGTGGGGGAAAGCAAGATAATCCATTGTGAGATTTCCTTTGACCTGCTGGGGGGCCCAGCTTACTTTTCTGACTTTACCCAGGAGCAGCTTTTCTTCCTCCAGCCCTAATCAAGTGATTTGCAACCTGGGCAATTTAACAAGCAAGCCCAAAACAATGTAGTAAAAATAGGAAAGATTCCATCTTGAAGATAGGATTGCATTTTGAAACCCAATTAGTTAAAAAGTAAGTTTCTAACCTACTCTTTTATAAACAGACAATAACTCAGCCCACCACGGGAGCAAAGCAGGCAGTCTTGAATGATATGCTCCCATGCCAGGAAGCTGCTATCCTGGGAGGAAATCAGAGCAGTAAATTTCTTGTAAATAACCCAGAAGACTAATAAGAAACTTAATGTCTCTTCAAAGATAAACATTTTGGAACCACCTAGCAGGTGTGCAACTCAACCTCCTATAAATCCCTTAGACAAGACACCACTCTGGAATACCACCCTGGTCCCCTCCTGGCATAAGCCAGGAGCTCTGTCCTCTTGCTTTATCTCTAAATAAAAGCCTCTCACTTGCTCTCCAAAAAAAATATGTATGTCTATTAGCTGTGGTTATCAATCTGGACTAGAGACATAGACATCTAAGACTTAGGAAATCTGGTTTTTAATTCCATCTCCACCATCTCCTGTTGTTGTCCTTGGCAGAGGTATAAAACCTCCTCACTTTTCTCACCTGCACAAAGGAAGTGTTTAACTTCAAGATTCCCTCCATCCCTACTATCCTTGAGTCCTGACATGGATTTAGGAACAAATGAAGACAATCCATGGAGGCTTCCCATTATATGATGCAGCCTGCCAGACCATTGGTCTAGGAGTCATATTGCCTTGGGTTAAAAAACAATAACAATAGGGATACTGATATGGAACTGGTATCTTCTTAGCACTTGATGCGTGAATCTTCCATAAGACAAGACTTTGTTGAGGAAGGAGTTTGTTAAAAATCACAGTGGCATAGAGCAGGGGGTTGGCAAACATAGCCTACAGGTGAATCCAGCCCTCCTCCTGTTTTTATAAATGAAATTTGATTGAAATAGCCACACATCCCATTTGCAATTGTCTCTGGGTGCTCAGCACTACAAGGGTAGGGTTGAGTAGTTGCAAGCAAGACAGTATGGACTAAAATACAGACTGTTTGGCCCTTGTGGGGTAAAGAGAGGGTGGAAGGAAGTCACAGGGGACTCCCAGGTTTAATGCTAAGAAGGAAGGTACTCTGCGTATCAAGAAGGGCATGCTCTCTGGAAGGAGGCAGCAGAAGCTGCTGCCCAGGGCATTCTAGAGGAGAGACTTGTAAGAAGAGACACATCTGTTGAGTAATAACTGTCATGTGTGATCAGACCCCTCCACTGGATCCTCTCAAATAATCACTTACAATTCAAAACTCACAGTATGCTTGGTGTGATTGAATTCCTAGAAATGTGAGTTACTCCCTGTTTACAGCCAGGTATGGTTGGACAGAAGTGTGGGTTAAACTCCATTTGTGGCTAGGGTCCTACCAAACTGCTGCCAGCTTTTGGGGAATTACAACCTAGAATATGGCCAGTGTGAGGAATGTTCCAATGAGATGAAGTCGTTTAAGAAGTTCACTTAAAAGCAGAGTCTTCAAAATTCCAAAACAGCTTCATTAAAAGTTTCACTGCAAAATGCTAATGAGGAATTAAAGATATGAGGTACCTGAAACAAAAGATACTAAGACTGATAGAAGTCCTAGTGCTTCCCTCCATCCTCCTTTGAGTACTCATTCTAGTAGTCCTGTGAATTATCTTTCCACTTCAAAAAGACTGTACAACTGACTGTAAACAAAAGGCCACCAAGTTAATGGCCTTATAGACACTCCCACTTGGTCCTCTCCCATTGTTGATTAAACTGAGGGATTTTCTAGCAAAGTACTATATTATTCCCTTAAACAGCTAAGTAGATAATAGAGGGTTTCCTGGAAAAACTGACAGAAACCAGCAGAGGTGAAAATTCTTACCAGATCAGCTCTTCTGAATCTCCATTTGTAGAGCCCAGTCCAAGAGAGGAAAATACAATTTCACATTGCCCCTTCCTTTCCAAATCCAGACCCGTGGTTATTGATCCTTTCTCGCCCAGACAGCTATTGCTTTCATTCTTGTCTTATGTCCTAAGAACTGGGCTGGGCTCTCTGCCTGCCTGGGACATGCAGGGTGTTGGCTCTTTCTTCGGTCTGTCTTTGGGAGTGGTTCTGGATCCTGGGAAGACAGCATCCTTTGCATCCTCTTTGGGAATGCCTCTTAAGCCCAAGGAGGACTATCCAATACTGCTGAAAATATTTACTGTTTGTCCTGGCTGAAAACTGACAAGATATTTAAAAGAATTTTTTAAAGTAGCTCTGCAGTCAAAGAGTTGGCCAGATTAGGAACTAATATTCAGAACCTGATAGGAATTTTTTTAAAAGGCCTTCTCCCCTAAGTTAACATTAGAATTGTATATCCAAAGAATTATATATAGTTGGATAGCTGGATGAACCTATGAGGTAAATGTAAATTACAACTCGATTCTTTAAGGAATTGAGATCAATTGTCCTAATCTTACAAATACTTACAAAACTAGAAATGTAGCTCTAGAGACAGTTCAAATTCCACCCATTCCTTTTCAACAATCCCCAAACCTCCCATATTTATCTCAAAAGGTTTGTAACCTCTCCAGGAATTCTTAGCTTGAGCACCCCTAATTCCTAAGACTGACAGAAAATAAAAAAAGAAAAAGAAGCCTTGTGAAAACACAAATGGCTATAAAAGTGCCCTTGCCCAAAATCTAGCTCACAGCTTCCAGAAGGGTGTCGTTGAGGACAAATGCAAATCTGAAGTGTCTTCTCCACAAATATTAGTAGATAAACTTTAGCCAGATAAGCAGGTGATCGTAACTTATTCCATCTGCCAGAAAAAGTTTGAATCCAACTGTTCCTTTCTAAACTGGTGGGTTTTACATTATCATACCCATTTCATGGCTAAAAAAATTTAAGCAATAAGGTGGTCTCTCTCTGTGTCCATCTGTATGTTCATGTATTGTAGATGGGTGGTATTTTCTACCTCCAGATGTTATTGCCAAAACCAGTTTGTGAAGAGTTCTACTTAAGTGACTTAAAAAGAAGTGGTTATCAATTAAACATTTTGAAATCTGAGAAATATAATAGAAATTAACCCAAATGTATTTCAAGGTCATTTGAGCCTGGATAATTTTTGGTAAATAAAAAAGCTAGTTTAAGTTTGTTGGTTTAACTAAAATTGACAAGTCCGAGTTATCAATATTAAATATATTTTTATTTTACCTAGCTTTACTAATCAAATAAGTTCATGTTATCTCTGCTACAGAATTTATCAACAAGAAAAATGGCCGACTTTCTCTAATGTTTAATAAAGTTTTTGTAGGTAATCTAAACAAAATTATAAGACAAGTAAATTAAATAGGTGTAAGATAAAGTGTAATAATGAACTCTTTCCAGCAATATTTATGTCAACTTGAACAGTTTTCCAAATCTCTTTGGTAGCTTCCATCCTTAGAATTTTGCAGCTAAGTTAAGTAATGGTATTCATTGAATATCTAGATTATTCCCAATAAGATAGAATACTGAAATATTAATTACTGAACAGAATGATCTACTTTTAGCTTCATATTACAGAGAAACTAAAACTTATTTGGATGTGTTAGGGCTGCACTGAAAAATTGAAAATGGCAGTTATTTGCTTCTAGAAATTCTGAAATATATTCATAAATTTGCAAATCTAAGGAATACTGTTATGACAGTTCACAATTGTTTATTAGTCTTCACTAGAAAGTACTGGAGGCTTCTAAAGGTTAAGGATTCTAATGTAATTAGAGGCACTAGAAATAATAAGAGAAACAGTTCTGTATACAAGAAAAGTAGCATGTATACTTTTGATAAAAGAAGGCATAATGAATGGAAAGACATTTTTGTTACAGGAAAAGAAGGTAAATTTGTCCTAAGTAAAACTGGTTACAGGAAAACTTAGGACAAAATCTAAATGTGAAAAAAAGAGTTGTAGAAGATACATGGAAAAGGAATCTTTGAAAAATAATTTTAATGTGTGGTCAGACTGGCTAAGATGAAAATGAGTTTACTTAAGAATAAATTTCAGTATCCAAGTACACCAGTGTAAGATTAGAATTTGTCTTGTTTCTCTGTTTAAAGGACATAGTTTTCTAGATTATGGGTCTGTTCTTAAAAGAAATTATAAACAAAGATTTTTATCTGTAATTAATCTGTCTAAATAAAAAGATTCTATATTTTGTCTGTATGGGGTCTTTGATTTCTTAAGATAACAGAATCTTTTCAAAATTTAAAGAGCTAAGTTCTGCTAGCAACTATGTAAGTTGATGTCTTTAACTGTTGCTTGGGTTAAATAGACAACTAAGTATTGTTTCCCAGTGACCTACAATCCTATTTCATCAAATGTTTTAAAACCTGTTTTTGATATTTGGTATAAATTTACCAAATTGAAATTCTAAATGAAGTCTTTTTTGACCTGGAAGAAATGAGCATTCCAAAGGATTTGTTAAACTAATTAGGCTTATCTGACATGATAAATTACATGGGAATTATTGTCAAATAAGAAGTAATACCGAACTTTATGTTGTATTTGTGTAGGTATGTAAGTGTCCTAGAAATTATATAAAATTATCTTACCTTCTGAAACTGCTCTCTTCAAAACTGAAGCTCACACTAAAAGAACTGAACCTGAGTAGCAGGGAACTGCCCCAGGTGACTTTTATACAAAGGTGGCAGCAACAAAAATCTATAAAGATTGTGACACATGTGGATAAAGCACATCCTGCTTCTGTAAAAAACAAAATGACTCCTTGTTGACAGACTTTTGCCATCCTGATGTCCTTGCAACATGACAACAGTCTATTCCTGAATCAGAGAAATTAAGATCGGTAGAAATGGTCATAAATTAATCAAACAGCCAGGTCTCTGGGAAACCCAGGACTGTTCCTCAGTTCTTCCCAATGCCCTGGCAAATCCCAACCCCACTTTTTGTGTTTTACATTCCTTCACCCACCATGGTGCATTGAAGATGATCCAGATTATGAATCAACATTGGCAGGGAGACTTCTACAAAGCCGCACAAACAGCCTACCAGTAATGCCTGACCTGTCAGGTCTACAATCCTGTAAGAACTATATTTTATTCCTAGAGGCCTCAGAATTCCTCCCTCTGAACTCTCTGAACACCTACAGCTGGACTTCATTCAACTGACACCACACCATGGATTATCGACATGTTCTTATTGCATGTGTTTTTTGGATGGGTTAAAGCCGCCTCCTGTCGCAAGGCTGATGCCCTTACAATGGCAAAGAAATTGTGTTTGAAGACATCTTTCCCCCTTGGGGTACACCTTCTATAATCTCCAGTGATTGAGGCACCCACATCACTGGGCAAATCATACAAACCTTAATGAAAACCTTGGAATGATCACTGTCCATATTCCCCCCAATCATCAGGCAAGGTAGGAAAAATGAGATATTCAAACTGAAAATCTCTAAATTTACTAAAACTACTAGACTAGACTTTCCTGACCTAAGGGACTTCGGTCTTGCTGATTGTTTGCGATATCCTCCTTTGAAATCATAAAGGAGACGTGTGCAGGGGCCAGTCCCCAGAAGATCAGTGTCTAATGGCGTACAAGTTTCTTCTGACATCTTGTTGTCTCATGCTGGTTTGGCCAGTAACTCTTTGTTTTTAATATCTTATGCTACAGCCTGTCATCAACAGCTTAAAAGAAGGCTTTTTGGACTCCAGTTCAAAGAATCCTTGTGGTCACAGTCTGGAGCCTGGTGGTTGGGTGTTCTGGAAACACCGTCAGAGAAGAATAGCCTTCAAACCTCATTGGAAAGGATTTCCTCAGTTGAATTTTGTTTAACACAAGTGTGAGAATCCCAGTGCAGAGAGTAGGAATATAGGCCAGTATTAGCTGGCACTTGTTCCCCTGGGAGCTAAAGATTGAGGCTGATGTTCAGGCAGTAGCTGAACTGATTGTGGACTTTCTTGGTTATTGCCAGGCCAGACCTCTGGGGTTAGCAGCCTCATCCACAGCCTAAAGAAGAGAAATACAGGGGAGAATCATCTCTCCTTCCTCAAGTCCGGGGAGCATGGGAGCCCAGAGGCCTCACCTTCCTCGGGTACTTGAATGGGGCCGTCACCGACTTCACGTGTTGCTGTAGCTCCTTGGTCAGCTGGTCCTTGTCATGGGACAGGAACTGTGGGGCCAGGACCACAAATGCCTTCACCACCTGCAGTGAGGATAGAGGCCAGGAGGAAAGGGAGCAGAGTGTGTCTAGAGTGTGTCTGCATCTCCTGGGATAATGCAGAATCAACACTCTGACTTCCACCACAGCCGTCACCTGTACATCCCCTCAGTGGCTCCCCCAGACACCCGGGGCAAGGGGAAGGGAGAAACCGGGCTAATCATGGCCGGCGTTCCAACTCTCTCAGGTGGCTTATTGGATAGGCAGGTAGTTTATAGACAGAGAGCAGGCTCTCCTCATATCCCAGGGACAACAGAGACTGATGGAAGAAATGAGTTATAGGTGAAGAGAGAGAAGGAAAGACTGGGACCGTAAACCTATGTGATTTATGGGGCCACCCAAAATACAATTTGTGCATCTATAAAATGGTGATCTAGTTGTCATACTTAATTCACGGGAAATAAAATGAAATCCTATACAGCATGGCTTAGCTCAGCACTTGGAACACACAGGGTTTTCTCCATAGATGATCCCCTTTGGGCCTCACTTGCCTGTGATATCCGAGGGTGATACATCCCATACTTGACAGAGATATGATATTGCTCAACATGCACCCTGCAGAGATGTACTCAGCCGCAGACCCACACCACACCTCTGCACCTTAACCCTCATCAACATGTGCACCAGGCTGTGTTAGTCCCCATCTGAGGCTATTTCTATAACCCTGGCATTGTAAGTGTCTTTCTTCTCAGTATTCTCACTGTAAACCCCATGGCTCAGGGGTTCTATCTCTTGGCTCAAGTCCCTTCTCTGCTCTGGTCAGGGATCAGATTCTGATTCAATTGCCAACCAGTAGATGGAATCAGATTCCCTGCAGGCCCATAATAATAGACTTTATATGGTGCTTGCTACGTACCAGGCCTTTTCTAAACACTTTACAAATATTAGCACATTTACTCTTTAAAACAGCTCCTCATCTTACAGCAGCTGAAGCTCAGAGATGCTAAGTAACTTGCTATAGGTCACACAGCAAGTAGGCAACAGAGCCAAGATTTGGATCCAGGTTGTCCACCCACCCTGCTATATGTACTTGTTTCCCAAGACTGCCCCCCATTCTCACTGGCTGCTGCTCCCACATCACCTCTCCTTGGACGGGATCCGGGCTGCTGATTACAGCGGTCTCGACTACAGCGGGGTGCTCCATCAGTGCATTCTCCACCTCCAAGGGCCCAATCTGATATCTGAAGAAGACCCTGTCCATCAGAGAAGATACCCAACCTCTAGGCCAGCCCAAAAGTCTAGAACCAGCCAGAATAAAGATCCAGATAACTCCTCCCAGCCCAGAAACAAGCTCACCCACTGGAGTTAATGATATCATCTGCCCGCCCCAAGAACTGGAAATATCCGTCTTCATCCTTGAGTCCTCGGTCTCCCAAGACCCAAAAATCTCCTCGAATGTTGGCTGCTGTCTTCTCCATATTGTCCTGTTGGCCACAGAAAGACATAGTCACTGTCAAAGCCTAAATCCTCTGCCCCAAGGCTTCCATGAACACATGGTGGATTGTTCATTTTACAACTTGTACAACTACACATGGGGGGCTGCCCTGAACCCGCCAATCTCAGGCCCCAGATAGGACTGGAACTTCCCCTTTATTCAGTTATTCCACGCAGGGTCTCTCACCTACTCCCCAGGGTCCAGTCTGACGGATAATATTCACCTCTGCTCTAGGGCATTTTCTCCGACTGACTCCACCTTCACTTCAGTCATCAACCTAACCCTTGCTCCACATGACACCATTCAGGGATGCAAAGGTTGATTGGACATTTCTCTTGGGTCTCTTGTTAGATTTGAAAGCTCTAGAGATATACCAGCAGGGCCCCAGGGCCCTGCCCAATGTTTCTACCATGGTCAGGTGCCTCTACTAGCCAAGACATTTATTCATGAGCAGTGAGAAGGCTTGAGGTTTGCCCCATGTCAGTGCATCCTTCTATCTTGTTCAGGTGTTGGGGTGTGAGCTCCCAACTGGATGTTAAGTCACTGGATCACAAGGTAGCACAGGGATTCGTAGCCCAGCACCTTGATTTGGAAAACAGGGGTACTGATGATGAGAGAGATCAAGAGGCTTGACCAGACCAGACAACCATTACAGAAGACAGAGCTGACACCAGGAGCCAAATCTCTGGACCCCCAGCCTGACTTTCTCCTGTCACCTTGCAGCCCCTGCCAGCATGACCTCCATGACCTACCCCTCCAAGTCTGTTTTCTTGTCAGTAAAGTAGGGGGAATCCAATGCCTTAGGCACCTCACTGGCATGTGCAAAAAGAGTGAGGCAGCACACAGGAAATGCTTGGGGAGGAGCAATGTGGCCATGCCCTCGTTTCTGAGGCTCGCTTTCCTTCATCTGCATAACTGGAATGAGAATGTGGATCTATAGCGATTCTTTTATTCTACATGCTTATATAGCACTGTTCTAATTGTTTCAAATACTAATGCCTCTAGTTGTCTGAAATAATGCTATGAGATGTTGTAATACACATTTTACAGGTGAGGAAACTGAGGCATGAGAGATCAGTTAACCTGCCCAAGATCATCAGTCGGTAGTGGAGTGGGGTTTCTCAAGCAACTTGGGCCCAAGGACTTCAGGGGATGGTTGGAAAGGATTAAGTGAGTTTAATGTATGTGAAGCACTTGAGGACAGTGCTTACCGTGCAGTAAGCAGCACCGTTTCTATAAGCATTTATCATTTAATTTATTACTTAATCATCTTGGTGTCATAAGGTTTGCATTTGAGGTCTTCCCTGCTGACTGTTCAACAGTAGTGGGCTTGGATGGGTCTTGTAAATCTCTAACTTCACCAGCCTCACCAGTTAGACTGGAGGATCATTTATTTCAAATGTTCCAAAGTCTGAAGATTGGGATGCTCCCAGCTATGCAGTGAAGTGTCCACGTAGGGTGTTGAGCATGGCTCTGAAGGAGATCAATGGCATAGAGCAGGGGGGTGATACCCAGGGAGGGGCAGGGCTGCCCTTGGGAGGCTGCTGCTATATACAGTTCAAGGGCAGTAAGCTTTTTAGCATAAAACAGTTGTTGGTGATGGAAAAGGGAAACTAGAAAAAGATAACTCTTCAAAGAGGAGCTTAGTAATGGGTTAAGGGTGGCAGCGGCGAATGCATAGTTTTTCCTCTTGGTAAAGTGCCCTTTCTTGGAGACCAGACAGCCCTTGTCCCCATGTCCTGCCAATGCCTCTTGCGGGTACATAACTTCGGGATCCCCCCCTCATTCCTCTCAGAGTCCGGGATCCTCACAGGAGACGGAGGGGGAGCAGCATGGGTTCCTCACCACGTAGCCAGAGCAGATGCCTACAGGCCTGATGGGTTTGACCCTGATGGCCAAGTCTCCCTCTGCACCGGGGGGCAGGACATTGCCCTCACCATCTATGACCTGGAGGAAAAGTAGACGGGAAGAAATGATCTGCACAATAGGAGGTGGCTTGAATGGCAGCATGGAAGAGCTGGGTTGACAGAAACGAAGACCCCCCTGCTCCCAGAGTGACTGAAAACAAGAACCAGATACCAAGGGGAGCCAAGAATTTTAAAACCAGATTGCTAATCCATCTGCCTGGGATGGTTTAGGGGAAGCCCCTTACGGAGACTGGACCACATGTGTTTGGGAAGATTCTTCTGGCTTTAGGAGCTCAGTAAATATAATAGCCTCTCATATCTTTGAGGGCCATGGATTTGGACATCAGATAGATGAAAACTCAAATTATGCCTCTGCTACCTGATTAGTTGACTTCGAGCTAACTTAAGCTCTACATCTCAGTGCCTTCATCTATGAAACAGAGATAATAACAGCTTATTTCACAGGATTGTATGAGAATGAAGTAAGATACTAAAAAAAGGTACTAAAAATATTACACAGTTGGGGGGTTGAAGGAGCAGGCAATTACACATAACACTAAATAGAGTATAAATTGTTACACTTTAGGTCTATAGACCTATATGTGTAACCATAGATACATATACATAAATTTCATTTCTTGGAATTTAGCCCAAAAACATAATAAAAGAGAAAAAATTCAGCTGCAGCATATTCTTGTAGTGTTGTTTTTACTAGTGAAAATTTTGGAAATCACCCATTGACCAACAAAAGGTGTAAAGAGTGGGAGAGCCATACTACTTACTACTGTGAGCCATTAAAGGTCATGTTTCACAGAGGCATTAATTGACCTGGAAAACCGGTCACCAGGACTGTTCAGTGATTAAAGTAAGTTACAAAATGGTATGTCAAAATGCACCTTATTTTTGTTTTAAAAATGCATACATTTATATAGCTAGTTAATTTGCTAGCTATTCAAAGTGGTTTTCTCTGGGTAAGAATATAAATGGCTTTCTCTTTTCTTTCCTCCCTCCCTCCTTTCTTGAGTATTATTTTAATATCTTTGCTTTCAGATATTTTTTCCCCAATGAATAGTATAATAACAAATTACTAAAAAACTCATGTTTTTTTAACCTCCCTTCTCAGTTCCCCTAACGAACCTGCACATCATAATGGGGAATTGCAGTTCCCAGGTAGCCAGGTTTGATTTTCATTGTCTTGGAAACTTTGCAAATGAGTCCCTGTGAAAGGCAGTAGACAGATTGGCAAATTTTAGGAGGAGTCATAAGATCACAGAAAAGAAAAATATCCAACAGTATAGGTCCCAACATAGTCCTGACGTTGCCTCTCGGTGGTGGCTCCAGCCCCCCACCCCACCCCGCCCCTGTTTCCCTGGCTTCCCTGGCTCTCTCTTTACTGGAACCACCAAACTGGGGGGCTGTACTAAGCTGGAAAGCAATGTGCTCAATGTGACTGAGCACTCTCCAGGCAAGATTAACTAGCAACCACATTATAAACTCTTCAGAGGGAGACTTACATTAAAAAGGGACCTCAGATACCAAAAGTCCTTTAAAACAGTATGGGATGAAGTTGCCTCCCTTAAGAAGGCCAGCCAGCTCTGCATCTGACATGAATCCTACACAGATACTTTGCTGGTGTCTGAAGGAGCCACTAAACATGGCTTCCTTGGGGAAAGCCTGCCACGATTCCATTGCCCTCACTTTTGTTTGCAAAGTTACAGCGCTGCCATGAGCCGTCTCAGGAGTTCTGCTAGGGGGACCCATCAGCCAAAGAAGGATGTAGAGTAAAGAGTGGAGAGGAGGCGGCCAGAAATGCTGAGGGCCACAAGTAAGAGGTAGCGGGAAAAGGAGGTGGGGAAAAGTACTGCCAGGTTGTTCGAATAAGCAGCACAATATAGAGCAATGCAAATCCACACTGTGTCCCAAGAGTTCCAAGATGTCTCAGCAGGTGAGGTGGAGGTCTCTGTGGATTCTTTTTTCCCCATTCCTCACTTCAGTCTGAGCAGCTCAGTATGGTGTCTGGCACATTTGATAAATCCAGATCTCTGCTAAAATACTACCCCATGACAGAGGACTTACCCGACCACCATATCTGAAATACCAGCCCCTCATCCCACATCACCCCTTCTCACCTGTTCCATTGTTCTCCCCTGAACTTCCCACCATGGTGCCATGTCATGTGTTTGTTAGTTTATGCCTTTCTCCCCACTCCTACTAGAATGTAATCTCCATGAGAGCAGGAACTTTGCCTGTTTGATTTCTGCAGAATTGTCAATACCTATCCCATTGAGGTGCTCAATAAATATTAATTGATAAGTGCATGATAAATGGTGGCTCGTATTTTATTGTCAGAGAGACTTTTGAAGCCCACCAGTCCCACCAGCTATTCCCTAGGAGCAGGTACCGTTTCTGTCTGGCCATAGAATTCTCGAATGTCCAGTCCCGTATGGGCCCTCCAGCTCTTCAGAATGTCTGGACGGAGGGTCTCCCCTCCACTGAAGCAGTTCTGTAGATGTGGGAACTTGTAACTGAAGAGAAGAGAGGTAAGTGTTCCTCCTGGAACCAAACTCTGCCCAGGCCTAGAGCTGGATTCTGGGTGCTTTGATGATGAGCTTGGCCTCATAGGGCAACCCACACTTGAAGGGTTAGGTAGATGAGCATATGTGTATGTGGGGAATGCAGAAGAACGGGCCAGCAGACCCAGAAGCTCTTACCGACCCCAAGGCCCCGTCACCTGGAAATGTCCTGCTGTAGCAACGTCTGGTAAATGATGGGTGGGGCTACCATGTTGTTGATTGGGTAGCTGGACAGCACCTGGAGAGAGAGAGCCGGCTGAGACACGGACTAGCAGGTCAGATGCCCAACTGACCAGTATGCACAGTAGTCACAAGCTTGGGTTATGGAATTTGCTATGTCTAGTTCAAACCAAGTGAGTCCCAATTCTCATGTACCCTCAAGCCAAAAATGGCAGAGAAATGACTACTATCATTATGAAGAAAAGTCCAGGACATCTTGGAATATGTTTCTGGATTAATCTGGAACACTTTTGTCAAACCCTGGCTAACTGTTCCTTCCAATTTAATGACTTGCCCCCATAAACACACCTCTAGAATTATATAAACCCCAGCCAACAAGGGAAGGAGATCAGCCACTGTTGCAAATTGGCTGTGTGGTCTTACTAAAGTCACTTAACCTCCTGGGACTTGTCTCATAAGAGATTAATTCCAGCACTATTTTCCTGAAAATATTTTTGGGACATAATTCAGGTAGAAAAGTGCTTTGAAAAGTTAGAAACGCCTACAGACAACTTAGAAGTGCTACGAAAACTAGCCAGTACTGAATACTTGCCAGACCCTATGCTATCTCCTTTACTTCTCACAATAGCCTCATGGAGTTTGTATTTCCACCATTTTACAGAAGGAAAAACTATAATCAGAGGGCTAAGTAACTTGCCCAAGGTCACACAACCAGCAGGTGGTAGAACCAGAATTTGCAGTCTGTACTCTTAACTGCTATGTTAATACCACCTCTATCCCATGCTTTGCTTTGTGCATAATGTATTACACAGAAAATATGATTAACATTATCATATCATGTGATTATTTCCACCAAGTGTTCTTGATGAACTGGAATGAGCTATTGACAATCATCCCATTTTGCTTATTGCTTTGCCTTACAGGAAGCTCAGCATGCAATTACCTACTTATTTGCTGTACTTCTCCTTACTCTCCTTTGTCTCCTCCTGCCCCCACACCTCCACCCTATATTTTCCTACTAGGCCTTATAATTTTACATCTGTTCTCATGTTGTTTTTTTCTATTTGTGACATTTAACAAAAGTCACTTAAAATCGTTTTTGGAAAGAGAAAGAGGAAGAGGTTGTTTAAAACAGAGAATGACAGAATCAATTGAAAAGAATCTCCCAAGAGAATTCAGACTGTGCCTGACCTTTTGACCTTAAAGGTTGCCATTCATGCCTTAGTTTGTTCCTGGGGTCTCTGCCTCCAGCCAAACAGAAGCCTGGGTAGGGCATCAACTGCTACAGATTTCCTGGAGGCCCCAGGATGTCAAATAGCCCTACACCCTAACACAAATAGAATCCAAATAGGGTGTGCCTCTGCAAGCAAAGTGAGCCCATTTCCTTCACTTTGTTGCTCCAGGGTCATATAACTGATGGATTTTATTTAATGGCTGCCTCATCAAGTTCCACAGAAAAAAGTTCTGTTTATTTTTCAAAATTCCTCATAGATGATAGTACCAAATTGGAAACAATCCTTATGTCCATCAGCCATAAGATAGAAAAAGAAATAGTGATAGGTCCATAGAATGGAACACTATACAGCAATTGAAAAGAACCAGCTTCTAATACGTGTAAGAATACGGACATACTCAGGGAATATATTGAATGAAAGAAGCCAAACAAGGCACACAAGATTACACTTTTCATGAGTCCACCTATATCAAGTTCAAGAAGAGGCAACACTAATCAATGGTGATCAAGTCAAAGGAATGATTAACTTACGGGTATGGACAATGGCAGGGAGGGGTGTGGGCACTTTCTGCCATGATGGGAATGTTTTGTGTCTTGATCTGGTGGTGGTTGCATGGGTGTTTGTTGTGGACTGAATGTTGTGCCCCCCACCCCACCCCCAGTCCTTATATTGAAGCCCTAACTCCCCACATGATGGCATTTGGAGGTAAAGCCTTTGGGAGGCAATTAGGTTCAGATGAGGTCATGAGGGTGGATCCTCTATGATAGGATTAGTACCCTTTTAGGAAGAGGAAGAAATACCAGAATCTTCTCTCTCCATCATATGAGGACATAGCAAGAAGGTAGCTATCTATGAGCCAGGAAGAGAGTTCTCACCAGAACCTCATGGTGCTGGTACCCTGATCTCAGACTCTCAGCTTCCAGAACTTTGAGAAATAAGTGTCTGCTGTTTAAACCACCCAGTCTATGGTATTTTGTTCTATCAACCCAAGTTGACTAGTGAAGTATCTAACATAGGTAAATTATTTTCAAGTTGTACATTTAAGATGATTGCACTCTACACACACAAATATACATGACATCATACCTGATACGCCCTGCCTTTCTTCTATACTTGGCTCACCACCATCTATCTGCTACTTGACACCAGAGCAAGAGCTCATTAAATGTATGTTTAGTGAATAAGTGACCTACAATTCCAGTCTCCTAAATATATTCCTTTTATTTGTGTATGGGTCTGTCTCTTTCCCTGGACCATTAGCTGTAAGAGGGCAGGGACCATTACCACCTTGCTTACCAAATACTGTCCATCTATATGACTGGGTTAGTAAAAATTAGATGAATTGAAACAAACTGCAAGAAACTGGAATGTGCAAACCTTGGGCTCACTCTCTCTGGGTGCAAACTGGATCCTCTCTTACCTTTAGAATGACTGCTGGGTCAAACTTTGGCAAGAGGTGGACAAATGTGCATGCTCCTGATATCCAAGGTTGCAGAAATGAGGTCAAGATGTTCAATATCCAAGCTGTGTCTGATATGGTCCATATTATGTCAGAGGCTCGCAGGTCTACCCATGCACTGAGAACACAGAGGAAACACATGCATATTAATTTGAGTTTGTGCTGGGGTGAGTGGAGCATGAGTGTATGTGTAAGTGTGGGTAGAGGTAGGTGGGCATGCACACTGAGTGTGTCTATATATGTAGGAGTGTAAGTCTAAGCAGGCAGGGGGAAGGAGAGTTGTTCTAATCACACATCCTTTTTCAAGATGGGGTGAGTATTCAGAAGGTGTGACCCCAGCTGACATGACTTAACAGATCACCTGGTCTCACTGTCTATTAGCCCCAGAATTCAGCGCAGTTTTGGCATGTGGTTACCACCCAGGAGATGTTTATTAACAAATGACATCTAAGTGAATATTCTAACAACTGGCCTTCCTAAGGTCAAGTTTGGTGGCATAGACCTTTGGTTCTCTTTTCTCCAAGAATCGTGAATTGCCTAAGTAGTATACTTGAGTTGCCTAAGTACACCCTGCTCTTGTACAGGGTGAAACTTGTTCCCTTTCTCTCTTCTTCTCTCTTCAGGCCAGAGTAAAAGGTATCAAGCCTGTCTTAAAGCAAACAGGACTTGGGCCAGACAAGCAGAACTTTCTTCTGCCTGGGAATCACCAGAGTATATGCCCCACCTGAAGATGACTGATACTTTCAGCTCTGGAGAGAAACTGAGTCCCAGCCTGGGGGTCATAGCCTATTAAGACCAAATTTTGGGGAATTTAATATCTTACTTACATTTCAATGACTTATCTCTCCCCCTTTAAGAAACAGCATTTTACTATAGCTCTTCTATTTAATAATTTAATTTTCTGATACCATAGGTTCACAGGTGGGATGTTTAAGCTTTTGAGGTTTTTGCATTAAAATACTTTTTTCCAGTTCGAATAGTAAAATTAGAATTAGCACAGTGAACAGCCTCTCCTGAAAAAGACCCTGAAGATCTCTTGTTATTGTTACATGGCAACCTTGGCACAGTATTTTCTGATTCCATTGATGGGCTGATGGGGAGGGGAAGGAAGCTGAATTAGGACAGCTAAGACCTGAAAATTCTGCGATCTCAGTTCATCTGATTAGTCCAACTACAGCTTCCACCTCCATGAATTTGAAAAGTAACTTCATGCTGACAAATATACCCTCTTGGAATGTGCATAGCATCAAAGCACATTACCAGCACCCCAAAGGACAAAACATAGATCTGTTGGGGGGAAAATGCATATACACCTGTGCTAATCATTCACCCTAGTAGACACATGGCTCAAAGCACTGAAGGGGTTCCGAGATGCCATGTTATCTGAAACAGAAATGTCCCACGGAAGGTCACAGGACACCCAGCTTGCTCAGCCATGCTCTCTCTCTTGCCCCATCCCAAAACTGTATTGGAGCTCAGGGCCCGGCAATGCAGCGCCCTGTAGAGAGAAAGGGCCCTTCTTACCCAGCTTCCATCTTGGCCTTGATGCCCAGGCTTGAGTGGGAGTGCTCCACCATCTTGGGAAGGCCGGTGGCCCCACTCGTGAAGTAGATGGCAGCTGCTTCTTGGCTTCCACTCTTCACACAGCGGTGCGCAGTCGACGCTTCTCTGACCGAGACACATACTATCACCTCAGATCTGCCCGGCCACCTGACGTCCCGAGGTGACCTGCGGATCATCTCTTCCTACTGGCCCCCATGCGGACAAGGGCAGGTAGGTCCACTTCAGGGGGGGCTTCTGAACGGTCAAGATCTCTGGATTCTGAGTCCGACTTGGGCTTGGAAACCACTCAGGTTCGGCACTTTGTTAACTGTGTGACTTTACATTATTTATTTAACTCCTCTGAGTCTCACTTTTCATTTCTGTGAAATGGGATCATTAATACCCTCCTCAGTGTTAACTGAGGGAGTTAACTGAAACACAGAGGAAATGAAAACCTCAATAAACATTAACCTGATTGTTGCCTGGAACCCTAGCAGGATACCAGGTGAACAGAGGTGCTCAATGAGTTTGAGTTTTCCCTGTACACCCGCTTTTATTTCCTGGAAGCACCTGCCTGCCTCTCAGTTCTTGATTTTGAGTCTCTCAGAGCAGGTCTCAGGTGGCCTACTTCCCTGACAGTTTTCTTAAAGACCATGACATCAGAAAAACTGTTTGTTCTCCCAGGGGCTTCCTAAGGTATGTATCTCTAGTAGAGGAGTTCCAGGCACATGAAAGGGAAACTCGTTCATCCAGCCTTGTTATCCATGCTAGAAAAGCACAGAGTCCTCTGCTTCGAGAAACCTACCTTGGGATACAGCGGGTGGGAAGAGGAGCCTAGAAACTCGGATATCAGCCTTCTCTTGTGTTTTACATCATACGCCCTTGGCCACACCTCTGATTCTAGCCATGGTTGCAGTGAACAGTCTGGGTGAGTTTCAACCCACTTGATGTTACTTCTGATGTGGACTGCAAGTGATTTATGTCACACCCCAGGGCTTCTGTTGCCATGACGGCATTGGACTCTGAGCCTGCTGTGCCTGCATGCACGTGCAGCCCAGAAGTATGGGGCAGATGGCTTGCCCTGGCGCGACCCTCCACCAGTGGGGTCAGGTGTGGATGGCTTAATGCTTGCCAATCCCTGAGTGAACAATCCCAAGAGGCATTCTGTGGGCTCCTCAGAAGGTCCCTGAAGATCAAGCCCCACTCATCCCCTGCCATGACTTGATAATGTACTCTTGCATTAGCTTGTCCTGCTTCCCTGCTGTACTCTCCCCTGGGCCACACAGTGCTCCCTGGGCCTCTCAAATTATCCCACTTTTTGTGAAAATCCAAGCTAAGACATGCAGATACTCACTGTAGTAGTGTTTTGAAGTCCAGCCACCCATCCCGGCTTTTCCCAGACACCAGTAGCTTTGTTTTCAGAGAAGGGCAGTCAGGTGCCACAGTGTCCACTTCCTGGGCCACTTCATCCCCAGCCAAGATGGCCCTGGCCTTAGTCACCTGCAGCCTATGGAGAATGTCTTTGGCTTTCATCTGGACAGTCCCAGGCATGAAGACGAGGCCTGGAGAAGCCAGATGTTAGAGAGCCCTGGAAGGGAGGGTGGCTTTCTTCCCTAGAAAAACCTCATGTGAACAGCCAGTGGGGAGGCAAGGGAGGGGAGGGCGAGGGAGGGGTGACCAAAGAGGAGTATCAGTAACAAGGGACCGAAGATTCGAGAGTGATTTGAACACAGATTTCCCCCAGGCTGTCAGTGCTGTAAGGGATCTACCAAGACTAAGGAAAGGAATTGAGTTGTCTAATGTTACACCACTGACAGCCTGAGGCCAATACAACCACCTACCCTCCATGTTCATAAAATGATTGTGCTACTCAGTTCATCCGTGGTTTCCTGTCCCTACTGGCTAAGGATCCAGAATCCTTCTCACAGCCCCCATGGTTTTGCCAGTAGCACCTGCCCACCTTTCCAGGCTCCTTTGCCGTGTCCTTGCTGCTGGGGCTGCAGGTACACAAACACCCTCCCAGGTCTCCTCATCATTTTCAGGCTTCCCTCCTCTGTGCTGTTTCCTCTGCTGGGAGCACTCCTCTTTGCCTCCTCTGCTGGACAAACCCTACATAGCTTTCAGATCTCAGCCCAAATATCACTCCCACTGAGACTTCTGTGACCGCCTCAGATCAGCCAGCTCCTTTTATAGTGGCGCTTGGCAAGCTTTTTCTGCAAAGGGCCAAGTAATGACTATCTTAGGCTTTGTGGGCTGGATGTTCTCTGTCCCGACTATCAAATTTGCCATTATAGTGCAAAAGCAGCCACTGACAATCTGTAAATAGGGCATGGCTGGGTTGCAATAAAACTATTTACAAAAGCAAGCTGTGGGCCAGATTTGGCTCATATATCCTAGTTTGCCAACTATTTTTTTTATAGGTTCTTCTAGAATTCTCATGCCACTCAGCGAAATTCTGGTTAAATAATTATGTGTGCAATTCATCATTTAATAGCTGTCTTCAAAGATCTGGAAGTCCCATGAGTAGGCAGACCACATTTTGTTTACTCTGTATTAGCAACCTTAGCATAGTGCTTGGCACAGTTTGCTTAAATAATGGGAACAAGGGTTGCATTTCCCTGTGAGAAGGTACAGTATCCTCTCTAGAGGGGACATCTATTAGGAGGGGTGGCTGCATTTCTCTGCCATCAGTTTCCTTCACAAGAGAGACAGTGCCCAGGTCAGGTGGTCAGTTACCCAATTACCAACCTGCTCGCATGCAGCCCAGGGTTACCAGCCACCACTCAGGCACTTGGGGTAGCATCACTGCCACGTGGTCTCCACGCTGCAGGCCACACACCCCTGAAAGGACATTAGCCGCCTTCTGGCTAAGTTCATTCAGCTGGCTGAAGCTCCACTTCACTTCAACCCCATCGCCGCTCACCCACCACAGGGCTGGGCCTGGGGATCGCTTGCCAGCCTGAAGAAAACAGAAGGCACACTGATTAGTGTAGGCTGGTACACAGCATGTCAAATAAATTCCCCAGCTTGGAGTTGCCACATCAATGCTTAGGAGACTTTTTTGATTTCTATATGCTCTTAAGTTTTAAAAACCCCAAAGACTTTTTCTTTATATAGGTTCTATCAATCAGTATTTACTATCTTAGGAAATGAACCATCACAGTGTGACTCCCTTTGAGTGCCATTCTTTTAACTCTATGCTGGCAAATCCACCTCCTTCCTTATCGCAGCCAGGATGAATCCTTCCATCCTCCAGAAAGGTGCACAGAACTTCAAGAGAAGGCAATGGGGGATCAGCATGGATGGCATGGAACTGCACGAGCCCAGGGCAGGATCCACATCACTCTCTCTCTGATGTCCCATGTTGGGTCCTTTTGATAATTCCTGCTCAGTGGCCATTCTGCTTACACACCCCAAATGACAAGGACACATAACTTTCTGAGAAGACTGATTCAGTCTCCAGTTGGTGCCAATTTTCTCTTATTAAACCCAAATCCACTTTGTCCATGACCCCAGCCCACTAGTCCACTAGTCCTTGCTTTACCCTGGGAGGTCACAACAGAGCACTCCAGGGAAGATAACCATCTCCCTCATAGCTCATCATAGTATCTGACACGTACGTGTGGGATAAATACTTGTTGAATGAATAAATGAATTTATAAACTCAGCAAAATTGTCCAGCTTTGTGCCTCTTCTCCACCCCATTACCTTCTCCATGCTAGCCCAGTGATCCATCACATCACTAGCAAAGTTAAACTTGGCAGGAACTTCCTGACGGCCCCACTGCAGGGATGCCAGGTGCTTGGTGTGAAGGTGGGCAGTGCTTCGTGACATCTGAGTGCCCCGCAAGATGCAAACCCTCTGGAGCTTCCGCAGCCCATGCATGGTCAGAGCTGTAAGGGAAGAATGCAGAGGTGAGCCTGTCCTATGTAGACTGCTCTACAAGCCATCAGCTGCCTAAGGAGATACATCCAGCCTTACGGGGTTCTTCTGGAGAGGAATCTTTGGTGGTAACGAGTGAACTGGCACTCAGCATCCAGTTCTTTTTCCTTCTGCTATGCTAGAAGCAAAACACCCAGCCTAGAGCTTCACTCTCCAGCCCTTCTGATGGTTTTGTGAACACTCCATTCCAAGCAATAGGTCCCTTTGCCCTTAAAATACAGTGGGGTGGTAGGCTGCATCATTCCCAACAATTGGCCACCCCTCCTGTAGGGGGATTATATGTTTCCACTCATTTTTACGTGACTTGCCCTGGACATCCTAGGGAAGAGTGTGTATCCACCTCTTACTGACTTTGGCTTGCTCGTGTGATGTGCTCTGGTCAATGAGATGTGAGTGGATGTGTCCACGGTTGGCCAGCAACTCTTGCATTTCTGTCCTCTGTCATGAGAGCAGCACATCCCAGATGGGTGCTCTGCCTTTAACCTGGGTCCCAGAATGGTAATGCATCTGGAGCCGAGCTGAGCCCAGGGCAGCCACAGCCAACCCTCAGATCTGTGGAAAAAAATATGTATGGTTATAAGCACTTGAGCTGTTCAGGATGTTTAGTTAATATAGTAAATGCTGACTAATAAAAGTAGCATGTATTTCCTCCAACTGAAGCTCAGATATCTTAAACCCTATGCACCCAGCACACAACACCTAACATACAGAATCATTTTAGACATTATAACTGCCTTAATTATTATTTCCAGCCAGGTGTTGGCTCCAGAGAAAGTAGTTCCAAGGCTGTGTGGGATGGTCTCTGAGTCCCAGCATGTGCATCTTGATGGGGCCTGAGGGGGATGAAGAGTATAAGTCTAATGAACTCTGATTCAAGGAATCCAGCCAGGAGCCTGCTAACTGGATGGATTCCCACCCTGTTAACTGGGCAGCAGCAGCCAGAATCCCCAAAGCTTCTGATATCTGTGGTGCCTCCTCTCCTATTTTTCAAAAGATCAAGAAGTAAAGATTTCTTTACTACCTCCTTGGCAGGAATATTTATTGCCTTTGTACCTGTGGGTCCCTCTCTCCATCCACAGCTGGCTCTTTCTTATTTTATGGGCCTCACCTCAGAGAGGTCTTTCCCCAGACCACTACCCAACCCCCGACCCCATCTGACCGCCCAAGGCCCAGCCATCCCAGCCCTTCCCTTTTGCTACACTAAAGACACCTGATCCTTTACATTGCCCTGCCTCCTCACTGAGACTTGGCTTCTCTTTTGAGGCCCCTAAGGGATTACAGACTGCTTTTTCCTGGGCATTTACATTTTCCTCGAAATCCTCGACTGGTTAATGCCATGATGAGGCATAATCCTATCATCCATTCCTTGTAACGGTGCTCACCTGCCAAGTTTTTTCAGGAACCCTCTCTGGGGATCTCTTGGTCCAGCCTCCTCCTCCAGAACCCCTTGCAGCTGGGAGGGATGCACAACTAATCTAGCAGACAGCTCCAGAGTCCCTGTAGCTTTCAAGGAGGGCACAGCTAATCATTAACCACGGAGCCTTCCTGGGGCTATGTCAGTCCTCCTTGCTGTGTTTGTGGGTTGCACAGCCCCATGGCCTTGTGGGGGCAGCAGGAATTGTTCTTTTAATCTAGGGAGTAAAAAGGAGATTTAAGTACAGGACCCCCAGCAAGTCCTTGCTCCAACCCAGAGAGGGAGAGAGAAAGAGCTGCCATGATACACATTCGCTCACTCTGTCTCTTTTGAATGCTTCTCTCATCTCCTTTATCCACTTTCACTCCATATGTGATCTCGTCTATGACTTGGACCCCAACTCTCTTGCCACTGACCTCCACATGCACCTCTCCAGCCTGGATTCTCTCCTGCATCCTAACCTGCTTGACTTCTCCCCTTGGATGTCTTTTAAGCTTGTCATACGTACTGTGCCCAAAGCTGAATCCAATAGTCCCTCTTTGCTAATCATCCCACCCCAACTACCACCCCGTCCATCTTGGTGACTGTTAGCTCTTACACAGCTCTGTTTGGATCACAGTAACAGAAAAAAAATGACCTTTCCAGATCGTCCACAGGATGAGGTCAAAGTCTGTACTGGAACAATAACTTGCTTAAGGTCACATGGCAAGTCAGTCCCAGATCCAGGCCTGGAATCTGAACCTCCCAGAATGGTTCACGCCCATGTGCTGCTGATTTGCAGCGGGTCCTTGTACCCCGAGACTGGAGTGGGAAACCAGAGGGCTCTGAGCAGCAGAGACAAGCTACTTTCCAGGAACACTCACCAAAGGGAAAAATATCACAGCCAGCTAAGGGAGTTGTGACATTACAGGCCATCTCAGATCCTGTATCCTCCCAGATGGAGAGAAGCTTCCCTACCTGCCCCCATCCTGGCCAGTCTGCACCCCAAATGCCCTTCCTAGAGAATTATTCCTTTGAGGTTTTGGCAACCATCTGCTAGGAGGGCCCCTGTGTCAGGCAGGGATGGGGGCTCCTTAAATGCAGAGGTCTCTGTTGGAGAAATGAAGTTTGCAAATGGAGACCAACAGGCCAGGGACAAGATTAGAGTGTTACCTGGCAATGACTAATCACTGCCCTTACAGAGAAACAAAGACCCACATCAGCACCATTGGGGGGAGCCACAGGGGCTTAAGGATCCTAGAAGCCGGGGTCCAAGGTGGAGGTGTGGGGAGAGAAGAGAGGATAACCTGCAGAAGATGCCAGAAGCAATTCGGGCCCTTCTGCGCTTGTGTGTGGGCAAATCTAGAAATGATATGGCTTGAAAAACCTGTTTATGTAGAGTGGCAACCATACCCTGGGAAGAATCTCTCACCTGCTCTGGGAAAATGCATATAATTCCACCACCCAGCCCCTCCAGCCCTGAAGGTATCTGTCCCTTCTTAAATACCCCTGCAATAGGTATTCCTGAATGTCTCAGAATCACAACCATGAGCCTCTTAATTCTCTTTTAGGAAGTTCTCCCCAGTGTCTGCCCCAAATCCCTACTGCTGCTGCTGCTGCTCTGTTCCATCCCACCGCCTACCTACACTAAGGCTTCAGAGCAGGAAGCCAGCTGGACAACAATTTCCCTTCTTTTCAGTCACTCCTTTTATTTTGACCAATTTTCCCGGGAGGGTAAGAGACCTTAACACCTAGAGTAGAGACCTAAATCTTACAGAAGGCACCTGAGTTGCTGTCCCCATTAAGGCGATATTAAAGGACTTTAAGACATAATTACATCTGCTTGGGAAAAGGAGATGATGTTTTCTAAAGGAATTTAGTGTCAAAATATAAGGACTTACCTACCAGACCACTTTCCACCAGGATAATCCCCTCTCCTCCTTCAAATCTATGCCAAAGATTTATATCCCCTTCTCAATAAAGCTTAGCTTGACCACCAACTTCAAATTGCCACCCACCTCTGAAAACTGGTCCCCTCCCTGCTTACATAGTACTATTTTTTCCCTAATATGCATCACTTTCTAAGATATTATAGAATTTAATCATTCTTTTTTGCTCTGTTTCCTCCCATTAGGATCTAAGCTGCATGAGCTGACAGACCTTTACCTGTTTTGTTCACTGATTTAGTTCAAGAACTGAACAATAGTATCTAGCCAATAGTAGGTACTTAGTAAGTATGTGAGTGAATGAATAAGGGCTATGAGGAAAAACACAGACTGGAGAAGTACGAAAAAACCCAGTACACATCCTGGGTAGAGCTGGGCTGGGGATAAGGGATCTGCCCAAGGATATACAGTCCTTTAAGTGAGGAAGAGAGAGCAGACCAGTGGGTTTGAGTATCATCGGTAGGAAGAAAAAATAAAAAGCTCTTTTCTGGCTGTAGCCATCAAGCTCAGTCCACTCCATCTCTATTATTTCTGCCACCATATGGTTAGGGAGAGTGTCTTGGGATTCCCCCAAAACATCCCTAATATAGGGTTCCCAGAAAACTTTGCAAAAGAAATGACTTAAAAGCTGAGCCACATGTACAGGTGGGCCCTTAGGCCAGGAAGAGGCAAAGTGGGAGAACAAAGGGAAGTTCGAGGAGAAAAGGAATGGGTGGAGGACGCAAGAGGGAGAAAAAGAGGTGAACCTGGAAAGGTGGGCAGGGGTCGTGGTAGGGTCCCCCAACTCCTGCAGGAGAGGGGCTGGAAATCCAGGAAGGGGCTGCATTGTAAAACCCACCGCCCCCCAGACCGTCGGACTTTTCATCTGTTCAATGGAGATTATACTACTTTCTTCTCAGGCTTTGAGTGAGAAACGAGTTGGATCCGTTTTCCTTCATGTGGATTTTGCAAGGTGATTTTAGATGGGCATTTGTCACGTTCATGGTTATTTTGATGTGCATTAGAAAAACAACAGAATTCCAGATACATCTTTCAATACATATTACATTGCTTAAAGATATTTTCTTTTAAAAGTTGATTTATAGCACAGATGGCAGGTGGATAGAGCTACAGTCATGAAGGCAGGATGGGAATAGAGTAACTGAATTAGAGGGTGTCAGTGGGGCATTTAGCACTATGTCTGGCAGGGAATAAATTGTCAACAACGTGGTGGCTGTAGCCCGTGTTGCTGCCTTGATGACCGATGACGGGCTGGGGTTGCTAGTGGGGCGGTGGTGCCTGGCTCCTGTGGGGAAGCTGCAGCTAGGAGTTTTGCCGTTTTCCTTTTGGAGATGAGCTTTTTCCTTTCGGGTCTGCGGTGACAATGGAGAGCTGTCTGGGGAGTCAGATGTTTCAGCGGGGACCCGAGGAGGGGCAGTCCAAGAGCACAAACGGTGTTGAGGAGTCAGACTTGCGTGTTTTCCTTGTCTCTGGCGCCCCCTCCTGGGTGCCAAAGCCCTTTGATTGCCACCCGTAAGAGAATTTGCCCAGCCCAGGAATGCTGTAAAGACCATGATCACTTGGACAAGTTTTTTTTTCTTTTTAAGGGCTAATGAAACTTTAAGAAGATCATTTCTTTGCCACAAACCTTCAATGTCTCCCTAGCACTCGTAGGAGAAAAACAAATTCCTAAACCAGGCCGTCAATCCATTATGAAGTGTGGACACAGGCGCTGGACCAGCTGGGTTTGAATCCTCTCTGTGAGATACCAGCTATGTGGACTTTAGCAAATTGCTTAACTTCTCTGTTCTAGCTGTAAAAAGAGGGTATTATCAGTACCCATCCAACAGGATGGTTGAGAGTTCAAACATTTGGAACTCTGCCGACAGAGCTGGTGTTGAGCAGGAACTGTTCTAAGGAATACACACCTGTCTTTCCCACCTCAAGGCCTTAGCACAAACTGTAGCCTTTGTTCAGAAAGCTAAGCCCCAATCTCTTTATGTAACTTCCACTTTCCTTCAATCCCAGCTCACCAGGGACCTCCTCATGGAAGATTCTGATACCCTGAGTCCCCCAGCCTCTGTTTTAACTACACTAGGCCCTTCAGGGAACTTAGTACAGTTGTGCATTATTTGCATTATTCTTTGATGAATAACAGTGGCCTCCACACTCACTGTAAACTCCGCAAGGGTAGTGTCACCAGCCAAATTGTATTCCCCCCAAATTCATATGCTAATCCCCAGGTGCTCAGAATGCACCTGTATTCAGAGATGGGGCTTTTAAAGAGGTGATTAAATTAAAACGAGGCCATTGGCATGGGCCCTAAACTGAATATAATTTCATCTTCACAATATTACACAGTCTGAATGGTGTTCTTATAAGAAGAGGAAATTAGAATTCAGACACACACAGAGAAAAGGTCACATGTAGACACAGGAGAAGTGGCCATCTACAAATCAAGAAGAGAATCCTCAGAATGAAACCAGCCTGGCCAACACCTTGGTCTTGGACTTCCTGCCGCCAACACCAAGGAAATCAGTCGGCTGTGAAAGCCATCCAGGCTGTAGTACTCTTAGGGCAACCTGAGCAGGTGGGGACTGCCCGGGCTCTGCTTATCCTTGCATTCCCAGAGCCTGCCACTGGGCTGGTGCTCTGGAAACACTGACTTGTGGGTGAATGGAGGTGCTGGGGTCCGGTCTGAGTTTCCATCAGCTTCTCCGCATGGCTGGTCTCAGCTGCCCAGAGCCACCCTTTCCGTTTCTGGGCCTGGGATGTGGCTACAGGGTCCTTGTGCCTTCCTGGTACAGGTAATACACTAACATTTGGGGATGATGTATAAATGTAGAGGAAAGAAGAAAACTGTCTTCCATTGTTTTCAATACCCAGAAAAAGTGTTACTAACATTTTAATGAATTTCCTTCCAACTGCTTTTCCATTTATAGTTTTTCCTTAACCTTTCAAAGCTGAGGCTTTCCCACTATATAAATACTATCTTTAATTGTGATTTAAAATTAATTTTGCTCAAGTTTTCCCGAAGGCATGTTTTTAATGGCCGCAAAATGTGTTACTGAGTTAATCTACTACAATTTAATCATTGCCCTATTGCTTTGACATCAATTTTCTTTCCTTTTCTCTTTTTTTGTGGTTTTAAACAATATTATGGTAAACATCTTTTTAATCTTTTGTAGTGATTCCCAAATACGGAATCGCTGAGCTACAGGGTTTGACCAGTTTTTCATGGCACTGGATGTGATTACCAAATGGCTTTACCAAAGGGTCAAGTGGTCACATTCACCCTGGCAGTGCACAGGATCACAGGTGCCCCGACACTGAGGTCACCTGTCCTTCTGAGGGCCAGCTGGACACTCTTAGCAAGTAAGACCAGTGGGCAGCCGCTAAGGATGCCAGCAGACAGACGGGAGTAAGCTGCCAAACGTTTGCTGGGCTGGCAGTGGCTCTGAACCTCTGGGAGGTTCTTCTGCCCTCTTCTAGGGCCATACAATGATTCTGGAGATGCTAATTTTGAAGCTGAAAGCCTTTGATGTCTATAGGGCTGAAAAGATGATGCTCTAAGTGAGGACTAACCAGTGATCCCACCAGCTCTTCTTAGAAGCTTTGAGGCGGCAAGCGGCCTTTCTGGGGCTGCCCCTCATCTCCCCCACTCTTGGCTTCTCACTTTACTCCTCTGGATCTTTCCAGAAACTGTCTTTGGCAGTTCTGAAACAAAGGTCACCTTGTGACTGTAAAACAAAAACAAAATCATTATTGAAATCATCATTTCCCAGAAAGACTTTTGTACTGAAGGAGTCATTACCCTTTACTACTTTGTTGGAAAGTCTCCAATATTCTTGGTTTTCTCCAAATGGCAACCATCAAAAAACAGCTAGAGTCTGCAGGGCATGATCTTTGAAACAGCACTTCAGCAACCCCTAGCCCTGAGTCTGATTTATAGTCACTGCTTAGAGTAGGAAATAAAATGGGCTTTGGGGCAGGCCCAGTGAAGAAACAGGGAGAAAAGCCTTCAAGCAGCACCTAGAGTTACCTGTTTCTGTATCCCCCCAGCACCGAACTCTGAGAGAGAGCCCAGGTAGTGTGTGCTTATTTGATTCCTCAGGCCCTAGAACCCCAGAGCTTTACCTTCCCAGGGTACTTGTATGGAGCTGTCACCCTTTTCACATGCTCCTGGAGTTCCTGGGTTAGTTTCTCTGGATCATGAGAGGAGTAGGCTGGAGAAAGGCCTATAAATGCCTTTACCACCTGCCAGAAAACAGCAAAAAATGAAAAACAAAGCAAATAGACAGAATAAGGCCTCTTTTCTCCTTAACCTAGCCCTGTGAATAAGTGTTCACATTTATTTGCCCACCACGAAGGTTCTGCCAGTTCCTTGGGCTCAGCCAGTGAAATGGACACCACCATTTCATTTTCTGTTGCTTCTCTTTCTGGGATCAAATCTTGGGAGCACTAGCTTTTGGGGAATGATTTCATAATCTTACCTTTTTCCTAAACTACTCCCCATACCTGAAGTGACACTGTTAGGAGCAGACATGCTTCTCTTTTAAGATGCAAATACTTTGGAGAAAGGGGCTTCGCAAGCCCCTTAGGGTCCATTACTTCCAGGTTTTCATCATGAGGAGCATAGCTAAGCATAGGTTTGGACAGGGATTGGGAAAAATGCAGACCACTTGCAAGTGGAGGTGGGTCTTTCTCAGACTGCCTGCATGAGGGTTTGCAATTGGCAAACATTTTGCTGCAGAGCCTCTATTCCCAGCATCCCGAGAGACACTCAGTGCCTTGGCTCTCTGCCCATGTCTTTCTGGCAGGTGGCCTTCTGCCGGGGGAAGGAAGAGCCCCAAGCTCAGGCACAACAGAACAGGGCTTCTCTTAGGAATACAAACACTCAAAGGCCAGCAGGTTGCTTATCCGTATCAGCGTGCAACTTGCCAACAACAGTCTGTTAAGTAGTTCCTCCTTGTATACTTCCTGAAGATGGGCACCTCATTCCCATTTCATATGCAGACAGATCTGGTTTCTAGGAAGGACTTTTTTTGACTTCTAAAACTAGCAAACATTTATTGAGCACTTTCTATGTGCCAGGCTCTGTTCTGAGTGCCATACATGGATTAACGTTGAGCACACAGCCCTTTGTCATGGCCCCAGTGAATTTGCAGCATACAAAATTAGGCAGATTTTCCTAGGTGTCTTTTTTTTTTTTGGTATCATTAATATAAAATCACATGGGCAACCTGACATGTGAAGGTCATGTTGGATAAATGTCCAGTTGTCTCTCAAGCTGGCTATTCCTCCCACAGTAGAACCATCAGCACTGGTATGTTTGCTATGTCTTCATGTGCAAATGGAAAAGGACACTTTTCCAAGATGGGTGACAGAGCCTACACCTATCACCAAGATCTCCCACTCAACTGTCAGCCTCCTATGGACCCAGTTCCGTGTTCACTTGACACCAAAATGTTGATATCTTCCCACTGTGTCCCTCTAGAGAGTATTTAGATCTCTAAAGACATGAAGGTAATGTTTAACAGAAAGGAATGGCTATCTGGTTTCATTTCAGACTTTGTGCTACCTGGTTGGTGTGAGATGTGGGGGGAATCTGGGCCTTCCAGCTTACTCAGCTGGAAACTAATAGGTACAGACCCAGGAGGCAATGTTCTTGGAGGGATGAGTTACCTCCCCTGTGGTGGGGTCTGGGCTACTGACCACAGCAGATTCCAGGACAACTGGGTGCTCAGCAAGGGCACTTTCCACTTCAGCGGGCACGATCCAGTAGCTGGACGAGAAAAACAAACTCTTTGACATGCCCTCCTCTCCCTCACAAAGCTGCAAAGGCAGAAGAAGGAAAGAGCAGAGAGCTAGACCTTGAAGAATTGATCACACCATCGTTTCTGAGGGCCATCTGGACACAGCCACTCAGGCCAGGCATGGCCCTGGAGCCCCACGCAGGAGGCTGAGGACCTCTCAAGGGAAGTCCAGCAGTTCCAAAAGACCAAGCTGGCCACAAATCCTCACTGGACAAGGAGGCGTGGACTGTGGGCTTTCCCTGTTATAATTACAAGGAAGCTGCCAGGAAATGATTAAGAACAGCCACTTACTACCTTCTTAGAAGGAAGCACAGTTGAAGGCAGGAAGGGGAGCACCAGGTCACTGGCTCTATTTTTTAGATATATGTAAATTACTAATATTTGCGACAAGTGAATCTCAAAATATTATGCTGAATAAAAGGAACCTGACACCAAAAATTAATGCTTTATGATTCCATTTGCATGAAATTCTTTTTCTAAAAAAAGGCAAAATTATTCTATTCTATTACAACAAATAATTTAACAATTTCCCAGGGCTTGGGAATTGACTGCCAAGGAACACAAGGGAAATTTCTGGAGTGATAAAAATGTTCTGTATATTGGTAGATGTTTTGCAGTGACAGTCACACGTGCACACATCTGTTTCAAGTCATTGACCTGTACATTTGTCACAGGGGCATTTTATTGTATGTAAATTATGCCTCAATTTAAATCTGCATTTTGAGAAAAAAGAAAAAGAAAGCTAAGCTATCAATATCTAAAACTAAATCTAACACAGAATCTGTTAGAAGTGCATCCAGAAAACTTAAAACTCTGCAGGACATTAAAGAAGATATAAATAAATGGAAAGATAGACTTGATGTCCTAAAGTTGTTGTTGATTCTTCCTACATTGATCTAGAAACTTAATGACATTCCAGTTAAAATGCTAATAAATACTTGCCATGGAACTTGACAAGGTGATTCTAAAAGGTATACAGAAAAGTAGAGGGCCAAGAATAGGTAAGACATTTCTAAAGAAAGAACTAGAATCCAAGTACACAAACCCTGCCTGCAAACCCCTATCCACACAAGACTCAAGATGAAAAGAATCCCCAAAACTAGGCTCTGACATGAAATTGCAGTTTGACCTTTGGTAAGTCCCTTCCCTTCTCTGAACTTCATTTTCTCTTCATTAAAATGATGGGGTCACCCTTATGCTGTAAGTTTGCTCTCTCAGACACCAACGTTTAAATCCCATGTTCTGCACACACTAATTGCTTGCCATTGGATAAGTCACTTTATCTAACTTCCTTATCATAATAGCACCTTATCAATAAGAGTCCAACCCACCTCATATAAGTATTGCAAGGGTTCAAAAAATAAGTGTTTATTAAAGTGCAGAACACAATGCTTAGCACACAGCAATGACTGTGAAATGGCCATTCCCCACCACTTACCAAATAGCAGTTGGAGAAACAGAAGGGCCAGGAGGGTCTAACACAGATGGCAATACTCCCCACTTCTCCCGCAGGCAGGATATTGCCTCCATTGCCCACAATCTGGCAGGGAGATGAGAGGACCGTGTCTGGATATCTGCAAGCCGGGCCACCCAGCAACTGAGCCTGAGGTTGCAACCCAGGGATGTGCATTTTGCTCTCCTCTTTGAACCAAGTCTCACCAACATTTGGGAGAGGGCCCCTACCTGCACTTCGTAAGGAGGGGATGCTTTCCCCATGGATCCAGACTTGATTTTTGTGCCTTTTGGATTGGCACAGATTACAGCCTGCAGAGAAACCAGGACCAATGAGGAGGAGCCACATCCCCTTCACTTCCTTCCTGGGCTGTGGTTTCTCTCTCTGCCTTCTAACCGTTCCTCCCTCTTTCTTCCCCTACCTTCTCTTCCCTTCTCTCCTTCCTCCTTTCCTCTCTTCCTTCTTTCTTGCCATCCCTTCTTTACTCTTTGCACAGTTAGCAAACATTCACTGAACACTCTAATAGGCGCTCACACATAATGAACTTAACGTGTCCCTGAGCCCCAGGCCCAGCCAATTGCCTCATCTGTGCCTGGATGGCTGTAAAGAAAACTGCTTAAGATCTTGGGCTCTGGCCAGGGACAGACACAGGCTATTCTGATGGAGACAAACAATACCTCGGCCAGGAGAGTTGTTTTATGGCTATGGTGTCAACTGTGAAATTACTTTAAATCACCTTTAAACCAAAAGGGAAGAAAAGCTGATGGAGTTGTGTTATTAGCTTCCCCTGTCTGTGGGCAGGGCCACAGAGCTGCCAGCCAGGAAGGCAGAAGTTCTGTGGGTCAGCCATGCCCCGTCTGACCCCAGCCCCTACATCACTCACCGTTTCAGAATGACCGTAGCCCTCAGTCAGCTCCAGGCCGGTCTGGCTCTTCTGCTTCTCCCTCACGTCAGGATTCAGTGCCTCTCTTCCAGTCAAACAATGCCACAGGCTCTGAAACTGCCACCTTTGTCCACCAGGGAGATGAGGCCACCTGTGTCAGGACACCCCCCCCACCACCCTCCAGCACTGCTCTCTAGGTCCAGGCCCCAGGCCCCTAAGGGGGCTGGACAGTAACCTCCCCCCGGCTGCAAACTCTGCTCCAAGGGCCCCATTCTCTGCCTTGGCAGGCATGCTCCTCAGGGACATATTATTTTTTTTAAAAAAAACAATCCTATTTGAACTTGCAATAAAATCAGAACCTCATAAAATAGGTTTTGGCATAACATGGTAAATTCCAGGTGACTTGGCCAAAATGATTCAGCTGTAAACAAAACACTTTGTTTCCAACTGACTGGTAATAAATTGGTTGGGATGACCATCTGGTTGAAAAAGATAAAACAATTAAAATTTTTAAAGGGGAGGAGCCAAGATGGCAGTATGAGTAGGGCAGCAGAAATCTCTTCCCCAAACCATATATATTTTTGAAAATACAACAAATACAACTATTCCTAAAAGAGACCAGTGGATACAGTACAACAGCCAGGCTACATCTACATCTGTGAGAACTCAGCACCTCAAGAAGGGGATAAGATACAGGCCATGGCCAGGTGGGGCCCAAGCACTCCCCCCACCCCAGATACCCTGCGGGAGGAAAGGAGTCAGAGAGGGGAGGGAGTGGGAGCCCAGGACTGCTAAATACCCAGCCCTAGTGATCTACACCAGGAGGGCAGACACACATTGCATGGTGTGCTGGATATTAGAGAAATGGAACAGTAAAATCTGTGAGTGGGTCCATGCAGCCGGCTCCCCTGGGACAAAAGAAAAGCAAGTGCTTTTTGAAAGTCTTAAAGGGACAGGGGCCCCACAGCTGGACGGAAGTGTCCTGGCACACTCAACTCAGCAGGCTGGGAATCCTGAGGAACTTCAGGCCCCCTGGCCCCCTAGGTGGCGCTGCACCCCTGAAACCACTAACAGCAATAGGCAGCCTGCCAGTCATTCCCCTGGCCGGCATGGCCCCAACACAGCAGCCGAGCACCTGGACAGGGGCTGCATGCCCGTGGCAGCAGGGCAGCTGGAGAGTGGCTGCACCCACAACAACCACCCAGAATCTCCTCCCAGCATGCAACCGCTGAGGCCAAACCCAGAGGCTGCCACCGGCATGTGGCTGCCTGGCGCAGGCAGAGGAAACTGGGACAAGGCGCAAAGGGGCACTGTTCTTGCAGGAGAGCACACCCGGCATGCCTGCCACTCCCTGCAGGGCTCTGGGCTACCCTGACAGCAACCCTGCCTACGGCAGTTCAGGGGATTAATCCAGAGGCTGATTCTGGTGTGTGGGTAAGTGACACGGGCAGCAGAGAAAGGCAAGGTGACCAAGAAGCAGGAAAGGACTTTGTTCTCCCAGCTGACAAATGTGCTACCTGCCTACAAATACCTCTATTGCCATGAAAAGGCAGAAGAATCTGGTCCAGTCCAGAATTACCCAGACAACCCCTGAGAGAGGGCCTGGGGAGACAGATTTAACCAATATTCCTGAAAAAGAATTCAAAATAAAGGTCATAACCATGCTGATGAACCTGCAGAGAAATATGCAAGAGCTAAAGGATCAAGTTGGGAGGGAGAATATAGAAATAAAACAATCTCTGGAAGGACTTAAGAGCAGAAGGATGAACTGCAAGAGGCCATTAATGGAATAGAAATCAGAGAACAGGAACACAGAGAAGCTAATGCAGAGAGAGATAAAAGGATCTCCAGGAATGAAAGAATATTAATAGAACTGTGTGACCAATCCAAATGGAACAATATTTGCATTATAGGGGTACAAGAAGAAGAAGAGAGAAAAAGGGTTAGAAAGTGTCTTTGAAGAAATAATTGCTGAAAACATCCCAAAACTGGGGGAAGAAATAGTCTCTCAGACCATGGAAGCCCACAGAACTCCCAACAGAAGGGACCCAAGGAGGACAACACCAAGACATATAATAATTAAAATGACAAAGATCAAGGACAAGGACAGAGTAATAAAGGCAGCCAGAGAGAAGAAAAAGGTCACCTACAAAGGAAAACCCATCAGGCTATCATCAGACTTCTCAACAGAAACTTTACAGGCCAGAAGAGAATGGCATGACATATTTAATGCAATGAAACAGAAGGGCCTTGAACCAAGAATACTGTATGCAGCATGATTATTATTCAAATATGAAGGAGGGATTAAACAATTCCCAGACAAGCAAAAGTTGAGGGAATTTGCCTCCCACAAACCACCTCTACAGGATATTTTAAAGGGACTGCTCTAGATGGAAGCACTCCTAAGACTAAATAGATGTCAACAGAGAAAATAAAATCACAACAAAGAAAGTAGACCAACCAAATACTAACTAAAGGCAAAAAATAAAATCAACTACTCACAAAAGCAGTCAAAGGAAACACAAAAGAGTACAGAATAAAACACCTAACATATAAAGAATGGAGGAGGAGGAATAATAAGGGAGAGAAATAAAGAATCATCAGACTGTGTTTATAATAGCTTAATAAGAGAGTTAAATCAGACAGTTACATAGTAAAGAAGCTACCCGTGAACCTTTGGTAACCATGAATCTAAAGCCTGCAATGTCAATAAGTACATATCTCTCAATAAGCACCCTAAATGCAAATGGACTGAATGCACCAATCAGAAGACACAGAGTAATAGAATGGATAAAAAAAGCAAGACCCATCTATATACTGCTTACAAGAGACACACCTCAAACCCAAAGACATACACAGACTAAAAGTGAAGGGATGGAAAAAGATATTTCATGCAAACAACAGTGAGAAAAAAGCAGGTGTTGCAGTACTTGTATCAGACAAAATAGACTTCAAAACAAAGAAAGTCACAAGAGATAAGGAAGGACATCACATAATGATAAAGGGGACAGTCCAACAAGAGGATATAACCATTATAAATATATATGCACCCAATATAGGAGCACCAACATATGTGAAACAAATACTAACAGAATTAAAGGAGGAAACAGAATGCAATGCTTTTGTTCTAGGAGACTTCAACACTCACTCACTCCAAAGGACAGATCTACCAGACAGAAAATAAGTAAGGACACAGAGGCACTGAACAACACACTAGAACAGATGTACTGAACAGACATCTACAGACCTCTACACCCCAAAGCAGCAGGATACACATTCTTCTCAAGTGCACATGGAACATTTTCAAGAATAGAGCACAACTAGGCCACAAAAAGAGCCTCAGTAAATTTAAAAAGATTGAAATTCTACCAACCAACTTCTCAGACCATAAAGCATAAAACTAGGAATAAATTGTACAAAGAAAACAAAAAGGCTCAGAAACACATGGAGGCTTAACAACATGCTCTTAAATAATCAATGCATCAATGACCAAATTAAAACAGAGATCAAGCAATATATGGAGACAAATGACAACAACAGCCCAAAGCTCCAACTTCTGTGGGATGCAATGAAGGCAGTTCTAAGAGGAAAATATATAGCAAACCAGGCCTACTTAAAGAAGGAAGAACAATCCCAAATGAATAGTCTAAAGTCACAATTATTGAAACTGGAAAAAGAAGAACAAATGAGGCCCAAAGTCAGCAGAACGAGGGACATAATAAAGATCAGAGAAGAAATAAATAAAATTGAGAACAATAATACAATTTAAAAAATCAATGAAACCAAGAGCTGGTTCTTTGACAAAATAATCAAGATAGATAAACTCCTAGTCAGACTTATTAAGAGAAAAAAAGAATCTACACACATTCTAACAGAATCAGAAACATGAAAGAAAAAATCATGACAGACCCCACCGAAATACAAAAAATTATTAGAGAACACTAAGAATATCTATATGCTAGCAAGCTGCAAAACCTAGAAGAAATGGACAACTTCCTAGAAAAATACAGCCTTACAAGACTGACCAAGGGAGAAACAGAAAATCTAAACAGACCAATTACCAGCAACAAAATTGAAGTGGTAATCAAAAAACTCCCCAAGAACAAAACCCCTGGGCTAGATGGATTCACTGCTGAATTTTATCAGACATACAGAAAAGACATAATACCCATTCTCCTTAAAGTTTTCCAATAAATAGAAGAGGAGGGAATACTTCAAAACTCATTCTATGAAGCCAACATCTCCCTAATACCAAAACTAGGCAAAGACCCCACCAAAAAAGAAAACTACAGACCAATATCCCTGATGAACATAGACGCAAAAATATT